ATTTCTAAAAACATTACTAGCTACTCTCTTAGTAAAATAAAAGTTCTGCGTGCTTTTAATTTATTTATGCTGTACTAAACTGCTAATTTATAACTAGTAAGCTTACCTCCTTAGTAGTAGGTATATTTAGCCTATAGTAGTACTACTATTTCTCTTAGTTAGTTGCGTAGCTATTCTTAAGAAAAATTACCTTAGACTTAGACTAGATAATAGTATTATTTAAATAGTTTTTACTAACACTACTAAGACTACTTTACAGTAAAGTTAGCTATAATTTAAATAACTTATAATACTAAGACATACTTTATGCTGCTTATAGTTATGTTCCTAGAAAACCTAACACTATTAGGCATACTCTACTAGCGTAAAGCCCTTAGTCTTACGCTTTAGCTACTAAAAGTATGCATTAATATGCTCCCTAAAGGCTAGGGCGTATAAGAGAACATCCTCCTAATAGCAGAGCTAAGCCTTAGCGTCTAGGTTAAGTTCTTAACTTAAGTTACTTATAGTCTTAACAGCGCATCTATTATAGTTAAGAGCTTAGTTAATATAGTACTAAAGGATATTTCTAGCGCAGCAGAAGTAGAGATTAAGCTGTACATAGTTAGCATAAACTTAAAGAGCTCTAAAAGACCTACTTCTACACAGCTACCTACCTTCCTATTAACACAGCCTTTATAAACACTAAATAGTGTGCTTTTTATGCACACACTAGTGTTTATAGCTATGTAAAGATTAAAAGCTAAAAGCTTTTTACTACCTTTCTTAGATAATAGCACAGCAACACAGCTACAGCACTATTTTTAGATAAGTAGCAGCTAAGGCTCTAAGTAAGGTAAAAGCTTATAGACATGTGCAGAAATCTCCTCTTTAAAGCACTAGGCAAAAGATGTAATAGGCATAGTAAGAAAAAAAAAGGTTATAGCTAAAAAGACTAGTTAAAAAAGAGCTAAAGTAAAAGTAAAAAAAAAAAGGTTTAAAAGTAGTAGGAATAGTGTTTTATACCTAAACTTACACTTACTTTTTTTACTCTATGTAAAGTTTAGAGTTGCTTTAAAGCCTTACTACCTACAACCTGCTTAGTATAGAATATTAGAGAAATAAGAAAACATATAAACAGCTTAAGAAAACTGTTACTTATACTTACACTTAACTAACTAGAAGAGTAACTACTTCTAGCAAATAGTAACACATTAAAAGCATTATTCTTAAGCATTTTACGCATAGAGATATCTCTAAAGCACTAATTTATTAGTACTTAAAAGAACTAGCAGAACAACTTGCTTATATAGCACTATACCTCCCTATTTAGCACTTGCAACTCTAGACTAAAGCAGCTACAGATTTAGTTTTAGAAGCTTTATAGCACTAACTTTAGAACTGTTCTAGTAATATATTAAAACTCTAAGCTATTTTAAATAAAATTATAATATTATAAGCTTACTAATAACTATTTTTCTAATAAGAAAGACTTAGTAATTAACTGCTGCATTTAAGAGAACTACCTACATAAGAGCAGTGCATCTACAGATGCCTTATAGTACTTATAAGTACTAAAACTAAAACTTTAGAACTTTTAAAAGTAGACCTTAACTAGATAGTAAAAAAGAAAAGTTATAATCTTAAGTTACTTTTATAAAAGTAGGCTTTTTAATTATAGACTATCTGCTTTACTTAGCCTCTGCAAGCCTATTAGGCTTAACCTAATAAGATAAGAACGCTCTATATTAGCAGCTACAGCGCTAGTAATAATGTTCTAACTCTCCTAGTTGTACTTCTTTAGACATAGTTTTCTCTTACTAAGGTTTTCTAGAGTTTAGTTACTAGTAATAAGTACTACCTAGGCGTAACCTGTACAGTCCCCACCGCAGGTCCGCCTGGGGCTAGTCCAAGTTACCATGATATCCTACCTATCTAATTGCAGGATCGAGGACGACCTGCAGAAGGAGGGGGGCCATGTCACGGTCAACTTGGACATGCCTTGGACTCTCCCCGGAGAGCCCTCGGCCCAGCCTTAGGCACATGACGTCCCGTCACGTGCCCCAGCACATATATATATATCCTCTTACGAACCCCTGAGTCTCCTTAAGGATTCGTCTATCAATACTATCCTGTACCCCCTTCTGCGCTTCACGCTTCCTGCTTCACAGTGCTCTTACAGCAACTCGCCTGTGAAGTACGTTATGGTATTAAAATCTTACTAAAATTAAAAGATGTTAGGTAGTTATATAGTATTATAGGCAAAATTGTAAGTTCTTATTAGCAGAGCTTGCTCTGCTTCTTTCTGTGGACTTTAGTTTTCTTTAGTTAGGGCTTAGCAGCTAAGAATTACTGCTTTTAGCCTTTTTAGGCTTATGTAAGCATAAAAACAGCAGATCCTTAGATAATTATTTCCTACGTAAAAACTAAAACCTTGCTGCGCGTGTTGTCTAATACCTGTCTAATACCTCTTGCTATAACTTATAACATAGTACCTTTGCTATTTAATGCTAATAAACCTCTTTTACTTTATAATAATTATTATTACTTTATAGATCTACAAAGAGACAGGACGTTTCTTTAATAAAAGGTTTAATGTGCGCCCTGCAATACATAAATTTAAGTAAGGAAGCGCCCTACCTAGGGCAGCCCTATACCTCTACTGCTAGCTAAGAGGTGCGCTCTTACTAATATTACATATATTATAAATAACAGACTACAACTCTATATCCTGCTATTATCTCCTCTAGTACCCCTATGTTGTTATTGTTCTACGCTATTAGACTAGGCAAATAATATGTTTAAAAGAAATAGCAAGTAAAAGACTTTATATTAAAAGTGTTACTAATTAAAAAGTAAAGTTAATGTTTATACTATAAATAAAAAACTAGTACATGTATTACTTTTTATAAACCTTAGCTTATTAAGCTCTCTTCTTTATAACATTTCTATATAATAGACGCTTTAATAATTTCTCTAATATAAAACTTTTAGCTTATTAGGTAACTTTTTTTAAATACTACCTATGCTATTTACTCTAATTAGTTTAAGTATGTAATGTACTTAAAAGCTACTATTAATATAAAGAAGGTTTTAGTCTACACCCTCTTAGTTATAAAAAGCAGGTATAAATAAAAACAACCTTAGTAATAGTTTAAATAAAGACATTAACATAGATATTTTCTTAAATGCTAAGCGCTATGCGTATAATTTTCTATCTACACCTGTACTTATAAATTTTAATAATGTTAAATTCTTTAAAGACTAGGCTATACTAGAAGTTAATAAAAGCTATATTAATAACTTCTATAAAAGTCTACTTAATATTAAGTTAGATACATGCACTACCTATAATTAAAGGTAGTTTAACATAAAATTAAATTAATAAAGTACTTATAAAAAGTGCACTACTAATTTACTTAAATATAGACATAAAAAAAAATTTATTTTACTTTAAAAAAATATAAATAACTTTAATTCTAGCTTTTTACTAAACCTTTTTAAGTTAACTACTACTAAAGAGCAACTACTAGCATGTGTATATGTTAATATAATAAACCTTTTTACTAGAGTAAGTAGGCACTTTATGCATTATAAATAACTACTAAGTTCTTTATTATAACTTTAATAGAATGTAAGTGCTAATGTATTAGTATTAGATAAAGTATTAGACTTATTAATTTATAAGCACTTAGCTAGCTGCTATCTATAGCAAGCGCATTACTATCTAGGCTTAAGATGTGCAGCTTGTTATTTACATTACTTAGGATTTTAGCTAGTACTTTAACTTTGCTAATAAGTACTTGTGTAAACAGACCTACTAAAAAGTGTTCTTTTATATAGTATTTATAAGTATATAGGTCTTTGTGTAGAATTTATAAAAATATAGTTTATAAGTTTTAGTCTGTAGACTACTTTTTATTGTCTGCTCTACTTATAGTCTTCTTCTATAAGCTTCTTCTAATGCAGTCTTCTTCTCTAGAAAGAGTTTAATAAGTGACTTAAAACAAGCTCTGCTTATGCATTCATTTATAAACTGTTATAGTATGTTATAAATTTAGTAGTAGAAAGCAAAGTTTAAGGTGTTGGTTGCCAAGCCATGGACAGATTAACGCACACAATGGATCCGCAAAATTGCCGAATCACATCTGCAACGGCCCGCACATAGCATTTCGACTTGCATGTAACGGCATCTAGCGTCATGGTCTGTTTACACTCCTCTATCACCACGCAAAATCCTCCTTTGTAGACTCCCAGCGCGCATAAATCTTTCTCTACTGATAGATCACTCACAGGAGATTAACGTAAGCCTCCCACAGTGACTAATCGAACAATAGCACGCGGTGGCCGTCGCAAAAATGTTTCCTCGAGGCCATCGTTCCTTACCCTACCCCAGTCCTCGACCATGGGTGGGCAGCACCAGGGGATATTTCATTTGATATATGTAGTGGAGCCTCTACACCAGTAGCACAGAGCATGGTGCTCTCTCTTGCACTCAAAGGTCAGACGTCACTTCTGAGTAGCGTCACTCTCGAGTTCGTGTCTGTCAGGACAATCAGCGGTGCGCACAAACAATCTCACGTCCGCCGGCAAACTCTCCGAATTCGTCGGGTACAGCGAAGGGCTCCTTGGATATGCGTACACTGGGCACTGATTTGCATGTTGAGCGGGATATCATTATTGGGACGACGAAAACTATACTGAAACACTTGAGCAATCTCAGAGCTGCTGCTACTATCGTCAGGAACAAGTCCTTGTTCACCAATCTCCTTTATATGGCGCTAGTACTGACCTCTCGATAGATCTACTCGACTGTAACCATCACGACTTCAACTACCTTTAACCAATATTGTCCGTACCTCCACCGTCCCTGCTATTCACCTCGTTCCGCCTGGAAGCGTCAGGTCACCAAATTACTTGATAGGAGGAACGAATCGGGATTTAAGCGGAGCGATGATATCGCCCGCGACAAAGATCACTCCTCTCTATAACTCAACAATTCAATTGCGCGCTGCCTCGACCTAGATCACGCGATACTGCCCGGTTTCGGTATCTCCGACCTGAAGCAGCCCACGGCCCAGTGCACTACTCTCTCTCTCTCTCTCTCTCTCACACACACACACTCTCACACACACACAGTCTAAACCCTCCCCCTTGCTCCTCACTCCTTGTTCGGAACCGGTCGCGACCGTCATCTTAGCGAATATATACGAGTCATTTGGATATGGTCTCATAATATAGGGAATGGCAACGGATTCTAGACACACATTTTATTATCGAGGAGACTGGAAGAAACCGACCGAATCAAGATTAGCCCCTCTGGGCATTGTTGTGCTTTACGATAGGGTTCAATTAATCGCCAATAGATCGCTTGAATAAGAAATCGCAAGGTGCCGCCTCAGTGGAATGAATAGTGGTGGAGACACCGTTGAATGAGCACACTCTCCGCTCAAAATCCCAGCAGAGGCTAAATATCTGAGGTAAGAACGAACGGCCCACAGAATTGCTGACGCTTGGTGAGCCCTTGAGAGTTCGATCCTATCACACCTTCAAAAAAATAACCCATGAGATCTTCTACGTCGATGAGGGCTTTGTAACTTTGGCCTTAGTTGCATTTCACAAATAGCCCTATACGGGTGATTTGTTGTGCGAATGTACGGGACTTGCAGAATACGGTGCTGGCCAAACACACGTTGAAGACATTTAGTGGAAATGGATTACGCCTTTATTTTATGCCTTACCCACGGCTCCCCCCAAAAGTTCGTTGCGGCGCTGAGCTGACACTGCATGGAATGCGATTCTTTGGTGAGTAAACATTATCCCTCCACACTAACTCTTCTTACTTGCGAACATGGATCAAAGGGCATCTTAGATCCTAGTGCTTTTGCAATAGTGATTACGTCAAAGCTTCTATTAGCACTGTCCATCATGGCCGATTTCTGATCTGGGCTGTTTAACGTTGTTATCAGGCCATCAGTCGCCCTTTGGCGTCTTAATTGTCCTTCCTCTACTCTCATTCAGTCACCTATCTTTTCTCGGCGGGAACCCCCATTGCCTTTTGACCATTTCATGGCTGAATTGATACATGGAGGTAGATACATGGAGGTGAATATCCATTCTCGTCTAACGACAAGAGGGGTAATTCATTGTGGATTCCGCTTGCATATCCTAATTGAACCGTGCCATAGAGTGTACCTGCCGTATAGCCCTACTCTCATTTAAATTGCCCGCTGGATTCCTCCATGTTTGATGCTTTTCTTAATATACCCTCTGAACTGGACTTGGCCAACTGAATATTTGAGAAGGGATATTTCTGCAAAGGAGGTACGTAACCTTGTGAATTTAGTGTACTAGTGGACTTCAAGGAAAATGTCTGTGAAGTAGCTTACAGTAGTTTATTCTTTGCATTCGAGTTACTGTTTTTGGTGTATCCTCCCTACACCCTGGGAATTCAATGTCTCATGATCAAAGCATCTTCCTCTTCCTATAGATTATCCTTGAAAAGGTTTATAGCACAATCGCTTTTACTCTTCACAAGACCGTGTGGACCTTATTCAGGTCTATCTATTGCTCTCAAGCAGTTCTGTACATAAGTACATTATCCAACCTAGGTACCACATTTCCACGCCTTCTATATAACCTCTGTGTAACAGAGAAAGTACAGGAATATCCTTTCTTCTATAGAACAGCATGAACTCCGTTCAGCGTGAACTCCCCTGGGCGAAATGAATCAAGGGAAAATAGGACAAACATCGTAACTTTTAGAGGACACTTCCTTACGTTCGGACTTCTAGTTACAGGGTCTTCTTGTGTTAAAGCTCAGCAACAATAAAATATTGGTAATACTTTATATGTCCATGGTTTTACTGCCATTATGGTGTAGGTGCTGCTTAAGAGGTCGAACTACTAACTCTATAGGCCAAAGATGTATATATTACCACGAAGTGAAGGAGTTCATCTACGGTCCTTCCCTTATCCTTTCAATCTAGAAAGGCCTTTGATGAGGGTGTAGGGGTAGGCCAGGGATAGAATGCGACTTGAGTCACTATATTCCCTTACAATCAATCAATCAATCAACCCCCTTATAGAGATCTTGTTAGTCCCCTAACCTAAACTTAAGCTGAAATTCTCTTTAAGGCTTTGTAATGTATATTATATACTGTAGAATTGTTTGCATGTTTGCATAGAGAACTTTGGACGAGCCTGAGAAGAACCCATTATCGTTGTCGATAAGTAGGGATAACTACCCGCTAACCCCTCAATATATTTTCTTCTAAGATGGGAGGTGGAGCCTATGTGGAAGGGGTCTATAAATAAACCGAAGCTCTTCTTAGTGTCTTAGAGATTTAATAAACTCTTTGTTCCTGAACTTAGGCTCTTCTAGGAAAACCGGCCTGCGTTAAAAAAAAAAGTCTCTGGAGTATAACGACACATTCAGTGATTAAGAAGGCTTATAAAATGGCGTGTTTGAAAACCTGGCTTGTCCCGTAACTATCAACATTCATTTACCGTCTAGTTGAGATGAATGAGTCACTACCATAACCCACCATACCCTCTCACTCCTAATGCAACATTGCTCATGGAGCCTGTTGATTGAAAAAGATGTGTATAGTCGAAGAGATTGTCGGAGGCCAGCGCTCGGCGTGGATGGTTGACTCACATGCAGTTGATCGACTGCAGGTGCCCAGATGCTCGCAGGTGGTGCCCAAGGCGTTAAACTAAGCCTCATCAAGTAAGTTGGGGTGCCAAGATAGTGAAATAAGCCTTAAAAAGTGTGAACACCGTAAAGCACCGAGGGGTCATTTCAGAGAGCTGCTCAAAATTTAGAAGGCAGATTTAATAGAAAACTCTTTAAAAGCTTTCCAGGCAACTGCGAACTAAGTTATAGCCCCGAAACCTTTGCTAAGAACCAGCCGCTGTGAACTTAGCAACTGCAGTTGGTTCAACCACCCACTCCGAACACTGGCGGAGGCTATGGCTTGTGAATAGTTGCTGGTAAGCCCTTGGTGTCTCTGGGGTACTAGAGTTTTATAGAATAGAGGTAGTCTAGGTAGATGACGAAGTCTGAATGAAAGTACCACGAAGCGTAAACAGGCCGCAAGTAAGGGAGGTTACCCTGTTCTTCGCTTCCGCAGTTTCCCAGTTATATTTGCTATAAATACTCACCCCACCTACTCTTCTACGCGTAGCCTCTGTCCCGATTCTGATGATATCACCGATATACAGCTCGAGGGCACGACCTAGAGGGTAGAACGGTGGTTGTAAAACCGCAACTTACAAGGCGCTTACGAGCATTTCGGGGTCAAGATGAAAGCGGGCGTGAACACTGGACATGAAGCGGGAACTAGAGTGCTTGCTATGAACTCTGAGGTAAGTAAGATCAAGGTATTTATCTAAGGGTAAAGAGTGAAGAGGATTATAGTAGCTCTAGACCTAACTACATAGCCGCAAATCCAAGCCACTTCCTAATGTATGGGAGATAGGATCTCACAAGGCTTGATTGCCGTCGTGTATACCCATGAAGATGCGCCCGTGTATTCTAAGATGAAGTATTTCATGTTCCTTCCCTATGGCAATTGCGCGATGTCCGACTTGAGGCTTTAAAGGTGTAGAATTGTGGATACTGTGTTTGCCCACTCTTCCATACCGTAGGAGGGGCTGCTCACTATACGTCGAGGTATTCGCAGAGAAGGACATGAGACGTACATGGAAGGGAGACAGAAATTTCTATAAACCAGGAAGCTCATTCTAATACGAATAGCCTGGGAGTAGTAACAGATATGATCTAAAATTTAGAAGTGCTGTGCCGAAGGGTGGTGTATAAGGGGACTGATGGAAGCTCCTTACAGTTATCTCGCTCGATTTGTCCTGCATTGAAAGTGTAAGTTGCCGGCCTAACTGAAAATAGTCACGCCTATAGGCTATGATTAGATCGTAAACAAAGGCTATTGTCCTGCTTCGTGCTGTGGGGGATAAAAGACGTGAAATATAGTTCGAAGATAAGCTTAGTGAACGGAATCATCTCCAAGAGCAGGTTCTAGTTTGCAATAATTGGAAAATAAAATGGGCATCGCAAATCAATGGTGTTGGCATTTCAGACATATTCTTCTGAGCAAGTAGTGGTAGAGGTGGCATGAGAGATCAGTGTTTGCTACACAACCAGCCTCATTACTCCGACAGAGGAGCCATATTTTGTTTCTGCAACTTCCGGCTCTGCCGCTGCCGTAAGCAATATCGGTCAGTAGATCCCGAGATCAGTGAGAAAGAGACCCTTGTTGAGATTTCGGGAATGAATAGGGCCTGCAGAAAAATTTCCGAGCATTTTCGTGGACATCGTGACTCCTCTTCGTGAAGTCAAGGATGCTTGTAGTTTCTGAAATCCCATGATCCAATCGAGGCGTCCCAGGAAACCTGTTGCTGCAAGTTTACGCGGGAAACAATGCAAGTCCTTGAAAGTCTCCGCGGCTGCCCCAAGTCCTTGGTGAAGAGGAGTGCGACTGTATCTCGTAGAGATTGGCAGGGCCAACAAGTTATTTCTTTGAGTCTGAAAATCTCGTACGGTATGAAGATGTTCAAAACTGTTGCCTGCCTCACAAGGGCTGACAGGAGACTCGACAAACAGAAACTACAGACAAGCGAAGCAAGATAGCACAGCCGTAGATAGCAAGGAAGGCAAACAAATGAGTGACATCTGACGACTGTAGAAATTCAGCTTTGTCCAAATGGCTCGGGCATTTCATCAGGGTAATAGGGCGCAGGTCTGCAATCCTTGCAGAGGCGTTCTCGTGCAGCGCTTCTCGCGTCGATAATTGTCTCTTGTACTTTGCCTAGATCATCCGGAGTATGTAAAAGAACGTGCACGATAAGGGATCGGCCGCACCTAGTGAGAACAATTACCCCGTCCTCATTGCCTCAATTGATAGGCACGTGCAGAAGGTGGAGCCAGCACTAGGCGAGAGGAGATTACGACAACACACATGCAGTGCCCGATCTTGTGCTGGATGTTGTACTCAGCTGACACAAATATCCTGCAGCGTTCAGGGGCAGTAGTCGCTTTCAACGTTAGTAGCTTTAGTGAAGAAAATAATTGGACGCAGAACAGGATGGGCAGGAGTGTCGTGATTGACGCACTGGCCGTGAGGTAAATTGAAAACGCTGAGGGATGTTGGAGATCAGCCGTTCCAGTGTTGTCGTCCACGGAGAATGAGGTATTCACTCGCTCGCAAGCGATGGCGCCATGGAATCAATACGGCATTAACATGCTGCGGCACTGTGGCGTTTTTGATTGACTCTCCCCGGATTATGTTCTGCAGACTTGTAACGTTTACACTGGCGATAGGCGCAGCTTGTGACGATGCTCGCGCTGTGGGCGGAGCACTTTTTGGGGGGTTGGGTGTCGGTCCACAACAGGCAAGTATGTCCAGTTAAAACCTGAGACAAACAGTCGTCACCTGCCTTCCAGAAGCAGCAAGTGTGTAGCAGCCGCGCCAATCATGCGGCTCACGTCATTTGGCAGCCCTTCTCGCAGCCCTGCGGTTTGCGTCCTCAATGCTCGCACGGGCCAATGGTTCATGGGCTGATCGAAGGGATCAAATGTTCTACAGCGGCTCCACTGTGTTCTCTACGCTCGGAGACCCGCCGAGAGCATAGCCAGAAGGCTGTCTGCATATATCCACCTGCAAGCATGACTGATGAGACGCCTTGTGGCCTCCAGCTGATTCACTTGGGCTCGATGAGGAGCACGTTGGACCGCAGCGTGTTGATGTCAGCAGCTCTTGAAGCAAATCCTCATGAGGCGCAGTCTGGAGCATGGGCGATGCAGAGGCATATACAACAGCGTGGTGGCGTGTGGGGACTCCAGGGATGGACATGTGGAGCTGACAGCAAAGGCAAGCTGTTGTATTGCTGGTCATTTGTAAAGAAGAGGGTCTTGGAGAACCCGCAAGCCCCTAAGGCGTTTGCGTTGTCGTTAGCAGGCGATCCACGGTACGACAAGAGCGACGAACCGGGCTTCTCGCGCCCGCAGGTTCCTCGGATGCCATCGGCCGCCCCGTACGACACTATTGCTTCGCTACCAGGATGTGATAGAATAACATCCTCAAAGACCAGCGTCTTGGATGAAAGAGCAACCGTTGATTACGCAGCTCAATCAGGCATCATGTCCGCGTGCTAGCGTAGCATAAAAGTAAAAAGTCCGGTTCGACTAAGAAAGTAGTCAGTAATGCGTAACCTACGCCGCTATCCGACGCATCTCCCCACGAGACAACAGAGTATCGAAAGGATAGGCACATGTAGGGCGGAGCTTCTCAATGAGCTAGGTTGCTGAGTCAACAGCGATAGATTTTCGGTTTAGAAGAAATCTAAAGAACCATTCATTGTCTTTCGTGTGGGGTTGAACAGCTCAACAGTTCCACGAGATCCGTTGTGCGAGTCCTCATGTCGCAGATATCCAGTCGTGCAAAGGGCTCGAGACGCAGCTAACCATGCTCCCGAGCCATAATTGGGATGCTGTACAGTCTTCATATTTTGTCGCCAACATGGCAAAGAACCAAGAGAGTGTCCCTGAGATCACTGAACCTGTGTTTCCACACTACTCGTAGCGGTCACGCCAGTTGGCATGATCGCCAGCTGACAGCCGCCACAGTCAGCTAGTGGCAGTGAGTTTCTCTATATGCTGTCATAACTTGGAGTCTCCATACCTCGAGAAGTGAACAAGGAACACACCCCAAGATATAGTGGAAGGCGTTGAATCTTGCATCAGACAAGGTCGGGAGATCGCCACCTGAACATGATCTTTCAGGACTATTTCGACGGAGGCTGGTCCAAGGTATCAGACGAAGGTCGGGTTGTCCGAGACAAAGACCAGTCTGCTGGGACGCTGGAGAGCAAATGGTTCCCGTCGATAGTCTGTCGAGATATTGCTTAAGGGATAATAGTGATGAAGTCTCCGCTTGACTTTCCCATAGAGAGCCTTCGACTCTCATCAGTGGCGGCCCGTACCGCTGCTGGTAGACGTTTCTCTCGAGAAGGGATCACCGCATCACGTCAGCCCCTTCTGACCACCCAATGGTGAATTGCGATTAGCGCAGCCACTGTGTAACCCCTACGCCTGGCCGGGCGTAGGAAAGAGTGATAGCCTCACTAGAGCCTGTCGTCGTAGTTGACAGCAGGAGCTGCTCTGGCTTACACAGTTTGCCTGAGACATTGGGTTTGAACAAGGGCGGGCATTTAGAGCGGTTCCTGTTTCTCCCGAAGTATATTCGAGGCTGCTGCAGGCGGCCAGAAGACAACAGACGTCTTCAGTTTGCTTGGGCGCCGACCTTCGCCGTCAAGGGGAGGAGCGGGAGGCTGCAGGTCGGTGTGCCTCGAAATCATATTCCCTGCAGCTTAGCTGAAAATCTTGTGACGTTAAGATGAGATGCAGCGTCCGAGGTATTGTGTGACGTCCAGATTGCCCGCTCAGCCACCATCTCAATCTACGCTCCAACGGGCTGCTGTGCCGTGGAGTCGTGGAATGAGTGGCCTCGCATGTCCATGCTGGGTCAGATGGCGCGGCGAGCCCTGGAGGCCGCTCGGGACAGCGGGCACAGGCCTGCTTCCTTTGGCCTCCATCGAAATGCGTCAGATGACCGAGGACAGGCATGAAATGGGAGAAGCACGCTTTGGGGCGGTCTCATGTTGGCTGCTGCCGCAAGCCTTTCGGCGAGCTGCTTGGAGGGTGCTGGAAGGGGCTTTCTAGCGGGCTCGGGGTAGCGATTGGGCCGGATGGCTGGACGCTGCAGCGCGGGCGGAGACAGACACTGCAAGGGATGCAATGCGAAGAGATTGTCAAGATGCGCTCGCCGGTCAGCCCCGAGTGTTGGGGGGCAGCGCGCAACGTGCTAGACACATGCGGGCAGCAAGAGATGTCACGTCCAGCGCGTGGAGCACTGGAGCACTGGGAGTTAGGAGCAAGGGGAGCAGCGCTGCGCTGCATCGACCGCTGCGTGCGATGGTCATCGCCCGTGAGAGATTATGGCCTCATGCCTAGGTGGTTCATGGTGGAGAGGAATCGAGGCGGGTTGGGCGGGCTGGGCACTTGCCGGGGCACCGACGCACGGCGGAAGCAGCCATGGCCTTGTGCCGAGAGCTGCCTAGCGCGCGTCCGAGCGGGGAGGAATAGCCGCGACGAACTGCACGTCACCGGGTCCATCCTTCCCTTCCAACCCCTGGCCGTGCCAGCCCTCCATCGCACCTTCGCATCTCCACCTCAAGCCTGCTTGCCATGGAAGGAGGGAGTCGCAGGAAGTAAAGCGCACCTGGCCATGGCCTGCTGTGAGGATGATAATACTTGCCGTTGGGGAGTCCTGCCTTCCTCCCTCCCACTCCTCCGGTCCTCCACCCTTCACGTCCACGGCCACCGCAAATTGCCCCCCGGCGCCCATCACCTCCGGGGCACTCATTCACTCACCGTTCAGCCCCGTGCCAAGCCATTCATTCCCTCTGCAGAGTCCACGAACTGGCTGCCACCAGCCCGCTTTCAGATCGTTGCGCAGCTCCCGAGTGCTCGGGACCGTGATGTGCTTGCGAGCGAGACGAGCCCGGATCATGGCGCAGCGCCGTGATTGAGGCCAGCTGCTGCTAACTCGAAATGCCCCGTGGTCCCAGAATTCTCCAGGCGAAGGGTTGCATCGCACGCCTGCAAATGGCCTGCAAATGGCGGTGGCGTCTTTGTGCAGGCCCTTCTTCTCTCGCACTCGGCTCTGTGACAGGTAACGGCTCACCGAACAAACCTCTCCTTTCCTTCTGCCCTCTGCCCTTCCGTTTCTCTCGTCCAACCGTGGGTGTGCCCCTCAGCTGCTGCCGGCCCGTGGCCTCTCCAAAGCCAGCAAGCCAGCTATCTCGGGCCCGCCTACGATACAGTGCTGACCGGCCGTTGCTATGCAAGCAACGCCCCCCTCTCTGACGCAGAGCAAACTTTGGTCATCTGTTCTCTGCATGGATTATTCTTAGAGGCTGGTCGAGATGAAACATTGCTGTCCCAAGCGGGCGGCCCTTGGCCTGCCGTGTCGAGGCAGCCCCCATCGAGTGCCGTGTCGTGGCCAATGTTCCTGCGTCGCTGCACGGGACTGTGATGCTCTACCAGACGAGCCAGTCAATTCACGCTTGTCAGTGGGTTAGGTCCCGGCGGGCAACAAAGGCCATACATCCGGTGCAAGGAATGCAAGGCGCTGCGTGGGCCAGAGACAATTCGAGAAATGATGGGAGCCTGGGCCCTGGGGCAAATCATTCCTCCCTGGCATCGGAGATATAGATAGGCCGTTTTGGGAAATGGTCGCTGCTGCAGCTTGCCAATGCTACGGTGGTGCTAGAGAATGGGTGATGGTCTGAGCCTGGCAATACGCATCATTTGCTTTGGGGCTGAATCTTGATCCATTGTTCTCAGAGATGCTTCGAAGCTACCTCTACTAGGTAGACATTTCTCCTTTCAGCCAAACAACCCGATATGAGCCCTTGGCTGGCTCTACCCTGTATCGACTCTGTAGCTGCTCCTGTTCTTCTGCCCTGTACTTCTACCGCCGCGCCTTTGTATTCACACTCCGGCCCCCGTCTCCCATTCGACCACTGTTCCTGCATCCTTTGATTTCCCAACCCCACATTATCTCCACTCTCATCACTTCCCTTCTCGTATATCTCGATCACACTCGGCCTGCCCTACTTTCATTGTTTTCGCCTCGGAAACTTGGTACCCTACCAAGCAGCACCTGCAAAACAAAGATCACGGGGATATCGAAATCGAACCCTGTCGGCCTTGTGGAACAACGCCGTTAGGAAAGAAGGCGAATTCGATCCAAGGCCCTGTGCATATATGCTCCTTCCCTTCACTGTTTGAGACGGCCGACTTCTTCACCATCTCGCATATTTACAGGAGTTTCATCGCAGTCTCTGCTCTGCTGCAAACTTGACGACCTACTAGATCCATATTTTCGAAACCGGCATCACATCTGACGTCGACGCCAGAGTCCCGGCGCAACAATCGTCCCTCAACAAGATCCGTATCCGCCAGCCCGGCCTTCGCGCGGATCGCTAAACACTCCACTGCGAGGCAGACAAGTCAGATCCCTCCCCAAGGAAGCTGTTGACGCCACATCATTTTTGGGCGTTCGACAGGAGAACCTGGTAAGTTTCGAAAAGATTATGACATGTCCCCTTCGGCATCTGCCCGCAGACTGACAGGTCTCAGTCTAGCAGCAGGCGACGTCGCAGCAGACCAGCAACCTGGGAGCGGGAGGGCAGATCAGAGTCTGCCTGTGCGCTCTCATCTCTCGCGATTTGAGATCTGTGGAGACGGGCGCGGGAAGAAGCAAAGCGCGCTTTACGGCCTGGCAGTTCGGTGCGTTGGCGAACGTTTTAGCCTTAAGGTGTCGCGCAGCCGCGACAGCTGTCGAAGCAATTTCGAAGCCTTCAGAATTCGTCAGTTTCCCCGCCGTCTGTCACCGCCTTCTCTGCCTGCGTGACTAAGCCGACGATAGCATCGTGTGTTTGGTGTTGCGGTGTGGTAAGAGCGAGTGCGCATCACGAACCCAATCTGCTGGATAAAGTGCGCATTGCTTTAGCTGCTGGCCAGGGCATCGCTCCTCCAGACAGCCCAACGAGCGGCATTGGAGCATTGACGGATTGGCAGCCACCAGCACCTCGCAGCGGCAGCTAGTCGAGGATCGCGCCCCTTGCCGGTTAAACCGCCCCAGATTTCCCTTGAAGCGAGCCAACAACGGCATTCAACTCGCCCGCCCAGGGCCCTTGGACAGCCGTTTCGAGCGAGCTTGCGCGCAGGCCCGCCTCTTTGAGCGCCTTCTTTGTGACGGACCTCCCGCGACGACACTGGTTGTCCGGCGCCAGACGCTCTCCTTCGCCGGATCGGGAGAACTGAGGTCAGCGGCAGCAGCGAACACCTCTCCGTCAGCGACCAGGACGCTCGCCACTGCCGGCGCCGTTGGCTGCGGACCCAGAGCGTCGGATTCGCCGCGACGAGGAGCTGAGGTGTAAGATTCGCTTCTCGCGCAGAGACGAAGGAGTCGCACTTCTCGCAAGGGCCTCGACGGGCATTATAAGAGCGCTGCTGCGGCTGCTGCTACAATAATGAATCAAGGTCAGTCAGCCTTAAACACATATGCCACCCCATGTCCTGCGTGGAGCACAAACCCTCAACGCTTTCCGCACCTTCATCCATAAACTGGCGCTGGCGCCCTTCTCCGCATTCTTCCACATAGTCCACATTCCTCTCGTATATTCCCCTTATTATATTGATCTACGGCACTGCCGCGCGACTGCTCTGTTTTCCCTCTATTTATTGCTACACCGTGTGGGTCTCCGTTGCTTTGCTTTCTGCCCGTTCATGTAGTGCGCTCTTGCACGCCTCCTTCTGCCACCCGATCGCGGAGCCCTTTGTACCACCACAGTCCCACGCGCGTCCCTTCGACTGGCATTCTTCGCCGGTGGGTGCACGTTGTCCGTTTTTGTCACACGCCTTGTTCAACAGCGCGAAGGTCAGACTCAGATTGATTGGCTGACTTGCAGGATAAGCAGTGCTTCAACCACCTCTGCCATTGGCATCGGACGGCCCCTTCTCTTCGGAGCAAGAATGCATCGATCAAATTGGTGCTCATGCACATCATAGTCCCTTTGCAGCTGGTCCCGATCAGCTAAGGCGCGACGGGGCCCTAGGCCACTCAACGACCAGTATTCTCAACTCTCTGCCCCCTCGCGGTTACATTTCCCATCAACCCGACGTCCAGTAAGTATTCCCTCTCATTGGTTCTCCATCGTCCCGGCCTGGCATGGCGGGCTCCGCAGTGTTGCCTTGTTACCTAGGCATGCGGCCCCCAGCCCAGTTCCCGCCCGCTATCGACGCCTCCTCGCCTGGTGCTGCCCAAGCTCTGCTCTTCACAACCGCCGAACAAACACGTCGTCATGCCCTTCATATTTTTTCCTGTCGCACACGTTCCAGATGCATGGCGTACCTAGCTTTCCCAGCAGGACGGTCTGTCACATTGATCACACGACAACCCTAGCGGTAATGGCATATCGTCCCTGTCCAAGTTGACAACTTAAACTGTGCCACCCAACTCCCCGGTTACACATAGCTCTTGTTGGCATCACTCTGGCCGATTAGCATTGTTCTGTCGGGTTGACTAACGCTCGCCAGTAGGTATCGGTCTGGTACGGGCCTTTCCGACTCAGGTTCTGGGTCTTATTCCGCCTCCCCCAGCTCCAACGCCTCTACCTCACTAGGCTTCACAACCTTTTCTCCGACAGCCACCCCCATCTATTCGAATTCCGTTAGCCTAGCAAACAACTTCTCTAGTGCGCCCCTCTCTTACTCGACGTATGGTAACATGTCGTCGACTCGAAGGATGTCGTCACTGTAAGTAGCCTTTGTGGCGCATTCGTGCGTGTAGAACCTGAGATTTTCATGCATGACGGCTGACAGCGACACGATAGAACTGATACTTCGTCGTCGGCTATGTCCATGTTACCTCCGGCACGATCACCTGGGATGGGCAATCCTGTGTCACCCTCCATGGGCGCGTCGGCTAGAGATAATTATACCACATCAACACCTGGTCTGCTCCGACATTCACACACTCTTTCCCCCCGGCAACATTCAGAGGCGTCTCGTTACAGCTCCCTCCCCGACACTCCACGAAGTGTCCTACCTACTACCATGCCTTTGACGACATCTGGGGCTTATGGCTCAGCCTTGCTGGGGTATGGATCGCAGCCTGCTCAGCACGGCCAGAACGAGACACCTCCATTCAACGCCCAGGAGACTTATGTCGATATCACATGCGAAGGCACTGCCGTAATTCCTAGCATTGAAGCTAAGATTGAAAAAGGCTTCTTCTGGTCTAGCGATCGGGTGTGGACATGCTATCGAAGGAATTACTTCGCGGTGAATGTCTCATTCACACTCACCCCCTGGATCGCAAATGGCCGGCTCTACGTGAGTCGTGGAGGGAAGGCTGAGCAGATCCAGTCTATGGCTGTTTCGCTGTCCGCTGCAGTTGATGGTGCAACTGGCAAGAGCATCGAGCTGATCCAGCACACCCCAAAACGCGACAAGGGTCCTCAACTTCCAATGAAAAAAGAACTCCTCGCACCCACACCACCCGGGAAGAGCCACAATGACCATACCTATGGTCTGAATAATTTTCACACTACTTCCCAGATTGCGGCGGCCCCGCAACTACCCCTTCAGAACGAGTCTGACCAGTCCCACCAGTATTCCCCGACAAGCCATTCCTCAAGCACGTACCAGCACGCCTTTGAAAGGATTCAATTCAAGTCGGCAACTGCTAACAACGGAAAAAGGAGAGCACAGCAGCAATATTACCACTTAATTGTGGAGCTGTGGGCAAACATCCAGAATCCTCGAGACTCGGAACCAAATTGGGTTAAGGTCGCTACGCGATCATCTCATCCTGTTGTTGTGCGCGGCCGGTCACCAAGTCATTACTCAAATGAAGGACCTCACAATGCTGGTACCTCTCGGGGTGGAAGCGGCTCAGGCGTTGGCGGCCCCGGTCATCCAGGGCTTGGATCTAACGGGCCTGCGTACGGAACAGGATATAGGAACGGAATGTCAGGCGGTGGGGGTGCTACTATGGGCGGAAGTATGTACAGAGGAAACACTTACTCACTAGACCCCAGCCCGGTTGGCAGCCACTCCGTCAGTTCTGCAAGCTCCCTAAGTGGAGGGACGGTTGAAGGCTTGGTAGGAGACCAACACATGGTGGACGAAGACGAAAACAAGCCCATCGACAGTTATGATGGGTATCAATACTTCCCAGCCCCGATCTACGAAGGGATTCCATCAAAGGTCGACGTACCGGCGCTCCCACTTCCTGAACGGACGATCAAGCAAGAGTTTCCAGGCCCCGCCGCCATCGCATCCGGCTGGCAGGTTGGAGGGTGCGGGCGGTTCCAAGGTATGGAAAGTAGTCGCGGGTATTACCCAGACATGGCGGCCCACACGGGGTACTAACACAGACGAAGACTCTTTCACCATTTGTCATGTCTGTTGACCGGTTCAGTTCGACAAAGCGATTCCCTCGTGTACGTCCGGGATCAAGAGGCCGCCCAGCATGGATGGACAGCAGGATGACTCAGTAAACCGACGAAGATGATCCTCGAGCATACTTAGCCAGCCCCTCTCGGACTTTGCGACTACATGTTAACGCTTCTTTATCTTAATTCCTTCGAGTATTGCGCCCCATCTCTTCCCCAGCCAATAGCAGCTCGACCCGGTGAACTGCGCACAGACACTATTTTTCGCAGCATGAACAGCGCAATAGCGCAAGGATAAAACGAGCGGGGCATTGGGAGCCTATCCTAGCGGGCGCATGACAAAGCTGGCGTTCGGCTGCAATATCGAACGTCCATTAAGCAGAGGGTGATGGTGAAACGTTTAGCGCCTTACCGGATTTGGAATGTCGTATTCTCAACCACCCAGGACCGCCGGATGTGTCGACAATTCCAAGCAGCGCCCGCCTGCATTCTGTCGTTTGTTATTTTTCTTATCCGGTTTATTCGTTTTGGAGCATGGCACGTTACCTATATCTCGCACCCCCAAGCATACTTAATCCTGCACTACTACCCCCCGCCATGCTATGACTGTCATGACTTGCATGAGCGTCAATTTTCCTAGTCTTGTTTCCTTTTCGTTTCAATGCACTCGTATTTGGTCAATGTGTCTTCTTTAACGGATGTTGCCCGCATCAACTGGACAGCGAAAATGGTGTTGGGTGCTTGGGGTCCGTCGGAACTGTTACACGGGACTATCTTGGGATATGCAAAGGGTTCGGGCTTTGCATGGTGCATGGAGCATATAGGTAAAAAATGGCTGGTCATACACCTTTTTGTTATGCTGTCGCTGGTCGGTGTCGAGTCGACACTCGGCATCTTGGCCGGTTGCGATTGCGGGGTCTGGTCATGAAGGCTCTGTCATTGATGTATGAATCACGGGCCATGGGACACGGTTTTTCTTTCAAGATGGTATCGGGCTGAGGGAGGTGAAGAAGGGAGAGGATGATGATGATGATGAAGTGCGACTAATGATGGTGGTCCTGTGAATTGTATGACTATATACTTCCTCAAAAGCTTGTGATAGTTCCCTGAATTGAAGCAGGAGGCCCTTCTCTTTAACATGCGATGTGCGCGCTACAGGTGACGCGATGAGATGAGGTGAAAGGAAGCTCTTTACTGTTGCGATTAGCTCCGGGCGGTTCTCGGGAGCGTCTCCCCGCAGGGCTGGCGTCGGCGGTCGGACCCACGACCAGAAACCTTTTGCGCACAACACAGTGTTTGTCATCTGCCTGCAACGACCGTGACCGCAACCGCGACAGCGACAGCGACACTTTTTGTGCGTGCTTGTTGCCCCAACAAGACATGGCTTGGTACGATTCCGACAGTTGGGCCACGGCCGCCTTTGCGCCCCACCTCTCCACCATCGTCATTACGCTGCTCGTAGCGGTCGTGCTGCCCATCTTGCTGCACCAGTTTGTGTACAAAAGGGCCACGCCGACGACGCTGCCCTCTTTCCTGCTCCTGGGGCCGAGCGGTGCGGGCAAGACTGCGTTCCTGACGCTGGTAGGTCACTCCCTTGGTACTAGTAGCAGTAGAAGTAGTAGTTTCTGATATGCGTAACAGACAGAGCGCAGAGCCGTCGCCGCCGCGCCCACGCACACATCGACATCGCCCCTGACCATCCAGGCGCTCCTCCCCGACAGCTTCACGCCCGAGTCGGCCCACTTTCGCTCGCCCGGCGATCCGGCCTATGAACGAGCACGCCGGTTCCTGCTTGTCGACACCCCCGGCCATGGCAAGCTGCGCCACTTCGCCACGGGCCAGCTAGTCAACCCCACCCACGTTTGTGGCATCGTCTTCGTCGTAGATGCGGCCTCGGTGGCCGAAGAAGCCGGGCTAAACGAGGCCGCCGAGTACCTCCATGACGTGCTGCTCTCGCTGCAGAAGCGCTACACTAATGCCAAGACCAGCAAAGGGCCCCGCGAGATCCCCGTCCTTGTGGCGGCGAACAAGCTGGATCTCTTCACTGCATTACCGCCGCATCTTGTTAAGATAGCGCTGGAGAAGGCTGTATCGGACGTGAGGAAGAGCAGGGCCAAGGGCCTAAAGGATTCAGGGGTTGCAATGGGCGGCGAGGATGACGGAGTCGATGAAGAGCGGGAGTGGCTAGGCGGAGGAGGCGAGGGCCCTTTCGAGTTCCGGCAAATGGACGAGGTGGGGACGAGCGTGGTCGTTAAGGGGGGCAATGTGCTTGGAGGAGACGGAGCCGATGTGAGGGGCTGGCTTGAGTGGATTGCGGAGCAATTGTGAGGGCATGAGGATGCCATGGGCATGCTTCTTCTGTTATCAGCCTTGCCTTCACCGTTGGCCGCTTGCACGGGTCCAAGGCACGGCCACGCCCAAAGTTGTCTCTGGCGGACTGTAGCATCAGGCGCGGGGCCTCTGCAGCGTGATTCAAGCGCGCATGTTAAACACTTCCGAATCTTGTTGTGGTGCGCAAGGCTGAGTAGGCAAACCTCTAAGACGGGAAAGCGCAGCACCGCTGAAGGATTTGGGCATGAAGTGTGGACATCGACTGGCCTCCTACTCGCTAGGAGTCACACTGCATCATATCCAATACAATGGTCATGGGTCCATATCAGGCAGCTCCGGATGTGAATATATTACCCTCACCCAAATGCCAGTGCCCTGGACATGTTGTGTTAAAGAATGGTCATTCGCCATGGCCAGCTGCAAGGCTGGGGGATAAGGTGGATCCTCTCACGCCAGTGCAGCTCAGCCCTACGGCCGATGTGTCCATGAGAATCCCGAACACTAGACTACGGACTTCGAGCCTAGCTGGCCGACATGACGTTTCCGCCGGCTGTTCCTGGAGGATGGAAGCAGGAAGGGCTTGTGGATTTAAGCGAAGGCGGACATCCAATCTTCCATTTCCACAATGCATATCGTTTCCTGTTGCCAACCAGCGAGATAGGGACAGCAAGATTAACACGAAATGCGAAGGAAGCTTTCGGGCCGAACCTAGTCACTAGTCACACTCCAGGCGCTCCCCGTATCTTTGCAAACTCCGGCCCGCGTGGTGGTGGGTGGTTACGGCATCAGGGGAAGGCGGGGAGAAAGTAAGCTTACCCCATCCATCATCCCATCCATATTTTGCCTCACAGATCCTTAAGGCCAAATTTTATGATTGGCGTCATAGTCATGGTGGGCGGAAGGTAGAAGGTTGAAACCAGATCGGTCGCCTGCTTTGGGAAGGCTTCCGTAGGCTCCGGATCCTTCCCGCTCGAGGCTGACAGGGGAGAGAGTGTCTCGGGCAAGGGTGTGTCTGTCAGCTTATCCTAACGTATGGTTCCTGAAAGCAGACTGGGTTAGTTTGTCAGCTCACAAGATGGGTCGAGAGAACCGGAGGTTTCCGGGAAGTGCGGCACGGTTGGGAGCAGAGTCAGGGTGGCTTGGATGGCTCGGTGATGGAATCTAGGCCGAGCTGAAAGCAGTTGACAGAGGATAAGGTGAGTGGCGAGTCGCACGAAAAGATGACGTCTTGGCTTCGCGAGATAGCTGCATGTTTGGTCGTAGGTGTGGTGCGTGGTGTGGATGTCTGGTCTGGCAAGCTGGAGATATATATGACTCGGACTTGGAGATCCCTGGCTCTGGCGAGGGGTGGCTTCAATGCTGGTCCGTGTCGACGAGGATCTATCTTTGATCCTGGCCTGGCCAGCTTTTCAGATGCCTCAGAAAAGAGGCATGCCTAATCAACTTGATAACCCTATATTGGTTGCCTCGTTGCCTTGGTTGCCTGGTTGCTTGCATCACTGCAGTGCTACTTTACAAGGGTGCCGTCTATCTTCATCTATCCCTTTCTCCGAGTTGAGTGGTGTGGAAGAAGACGAAAGCACGCGGGCTATATAATTAGGCACCCCAGCGACAAATATGAATACGAAGGTTGCGAGTAATGTTCGGCGCTAGTGCTGCCGGCAGTTATTGATAAGTACCGCATGTTTGTGGAGACGACATCAGAGATAGATGAAGTGGATCTTGTGTCTCCGGCGAGCCGTGGGCCGGGTCATGAAGTGAATTGAGGGAGGAGGGGGAGGGGAGGATGTGAGGAAGGAACACGATAGATTAGGCTTAGTGCGGATGGTAGGGCTGAGGGTGTGCGCCTCGCTTATCGACGGGTTTATCGGCCAAAATAATGGGCTCGATGGCGACATCTACCACCCACGAGTGACTTCACTAGCAACCGCAAAAGCCTATTCCAACCACACTACCTGTGCGCGCCCTCCCAGACTTCTATTTGCAGCCATGCCAACCGCAACACGTCCTGCCATCCCACCGGTGGTCATGGACAACGTCACGCAACAAATTGGCAACACGCCGCTCGTTCGCCTCAACAAGATACCGCAGTCGCTTGGCATCAAAGCCCAGGTGTACTGCAAACTGGAAATGTTCAATGCCGGCGGCTCCGTCAAAGACCGCATCGCCCTGCGCATGATCCAACAGGCGGAGGCCAGCGGGCGCATCAAGCCCGGTGACACGCTCATCGAGCCTACGTCCGGCAACACGGGCATCGGGCTCGCCCTCGTGGCCGCCGTGAAGGGCTACAGGACAATAATCACGCTGCCGGAGAAAATGAGCCCGGAGAAGGTCGCCGTGTTGCGTGCGCTGGGCGCCGAGATCATCCGGACGCCCACAGCCGCCGCATTTGATAGTCCCGAGAGCCACATCGGGGTCGCGAAGAGGTTGCAGAAGGAGATCCCTAATGCGCATATTCTGGATCAGTACTCCAATCCGGACAATCCCCTGGCCCACGAGTTTGGGACTGCCGAGGAGGTGTGGGTGCAGACCGAGGGGAGGGTGACATGTGTTGTGGCTGGTGCGGGTACCGGCGGCACCATCACGGGGCTTGCGAAGGGATTGAGGAAACACAAGAAGGATATCAAGATTATAGCGGCAGATCCGGAGGGTAGTGTTTTGGCCGTGCCGGAGAGCTTGAATAAGGAGCACGCGAATGAGGCGTACAAGGTGGAGGGAATTGGATACGACTTCATCCCGGATGTCTTGGTCCGAGACGAGGTGGACAAGTGGTACAAGACCGATGACCGGACGGCGTTTGGGTATGCGAGGAGGTTGATTGCTGAAGAAGGCATCCTTTGTGGAGGATCGAGTGGGAGTGCACTCGACGCCATGGTACGGGCCGTGCAGGACCTTAATTTAACCGCGGATGACGTCGTCGTCGTCATTCTACCAGACAGTATACGGAGCTATCTCAGCAAGGTGCGTTTCAGCTCCGGCATAGATGACGTTGTACTGACATGACAAAGTTTGTCGATGATGACTGGCTCGCCGCCAACGACCTCCTTCCCCCAACACCGCCCTTATCTCCAAATCTAGCTATACCAACACCATCTTCTCCATTATCACGTACTCGATCCCATTCAATCAAGAACGACCCCTTCCATGGAGCCACCATCGCCTCACTGCGCCTCAAACCCGTAACCACTGTCCCAACCACATCGCCCTGCACCGAAGCTATCGAAACTATGCGCGAGAAAGGCTTCGATCAACTCCCAGTCTCCCTCTACCCAGCTGGTTCCGGAAAGCCCCGACTCGTAGGGCTTGTCACCCTCGGTAACCTGCTATCCTGGATGAGTAGTGGAAGGGCGGGACCGAAGTCCAAAGTTGAAGATGTGATGTTCGATTTCCGTAAGCTTCCCGAGGTTGTGACAGATTTAGGGCATCTGCATCTTGGCAGCGAGGAGGGGAAGCAAAAGGAGCCTAGACGAGAGTTTGTTGAGATCACGAAATATACAAAGCTCAGTGATCTTAACAGGTTCTTTGAATGGAATAGTGCGGCGGTGGTAACTGAGAGGGTTGATGGAGAACTTAGAGCGAGTGCAGTGGTTACGAAGGTGGATCTTTTGACGTGGCTAGTGAGGCAGGAGAGTTTGAATGGGCCGAAATAGAAGAAGCATCCTAGTAGAATGGAATAGCACCCAAAGCGCTGAAAGCAGAGTAGGATTGCATTAAAAGAATTGGGTCATGGCTTAGAGCAACAGAATAGATACTTGAAGCGTAGGTGTTTGGTGTTCAACACCTGCCGAGGCTTCTCCTTTTTGGCTGAAGGTGAAGGTGTTATGGTAGATGCTAGATTAGACTTCAACGTCTACTGGTTCTCTTTCTTGAGAACTTACTTCCATCGAATATTCATTCTAATCTCCCCTGCATCTACTCCTCCACTTAACCTGACGCTAAATTCACACAAAATCTCCGCCGTGTCACAAAATATGCTCCAAAAGACTTGGAACCTAAACAAGATATGATAAGCATGGCGGTTGCCCTAACACCGAAAGCTTTATCATAGCAAAGCCTCTCCACCAGAGCATCTAGGCTATCTCATATCAAACACCGAGCTTAGAGGTGATGGGAATAACTAACGTCTATCAGTTTCACCAGTGATAGGGATGATGTAGCACTTCTGGTGTTTTGGAAAACTAGGACGGAGACATCTTGTTATGAACACCTCATTTGTTTAGATAGCTGTGAGCTCATGAGTATAACTTTATTCTTTAGATATATCAAGAATTTCTCTATCGGATGTGAATGGAGGGCAAAATCAAGGGGCATTGGTTGACAGTGGGTTTGAGTTTTCAGCACCTTCACCACATGAGATCCGAACTTATGGAGTGGAGACATGTGCGGGAACGAACTTTATCGAGAATGAAGAGAACTTGGTGAGCAAAGTTCTGAAAGAGTGGAGATAATGGGAGGCATTCATCAGTTATATCGAGGGGGGTCCTTCAACATACTAGATCGTAATGAAATCCTACAAGACATCCCTCCGTCCAGGTTTTGTATTTGCCTATCTGCTTCTGATCGCTTTCGCTTCTTGGGTAGAGACGTATTGGATGTTAATCACTTTCCGAGCTTCGCTTCCGAGTTTTCAGCCTTTACCAGAATAAGCGCTTGAAGTGTTCTCGAGATTTGCTGGGGAGGAGTGTTGGTGCAGGAAAATGTTGGGAGGGAGGGAGCGTTGACGCACATCAGACGAGACTCGTTGTTGACGGTGGCTGAGTCCATAGCAGAGGCTGCCTGTGTGAAGAAGCGCGATAGCATAAATGAATGGGGGTATGTGTGACGTACAGTCCTCTTTAAAGCAGTCATGGAGGGGAGGCTAACGAATATTTGAGGCAATACGGGAGCCTTGGTCGGCACAGCTTTTTCAGTACCCTTAGGCACCTCAATCTTTTCGAACTAGAATGAACCTTAGAAGAGACCCCGAATTCCTTTCCCCGTTATCTCACATGACTTGTGTGAATTCAGATACCTCTCGAGACCCCGAGCAAGACGTCACGTGACTTCTCATCCTCACCTGTACTTAATTACCTGCGTTGACATATATGGATGAAATTGTAGCTCTTTTCAAAATTGGAAAGGACCCACCCTGGATGTAAGGACTCGGTTTTGTCTTAAATTTAGCGAGACAATAGCAGAAACTGATAGAGGGCTGTTCTGCGCGAGCACTGCCTTCGTTGACAAGAGAAACCCCTTGGCCCTATCGCCGCCTTTGGCCAAACTTCCAGCTTTGGCGCAATTTGTTCCAAATGGACGACTTCGAAGCCGCCCGTGACTTTAACTAGACTCCGAACCTTCGCCAGCCCTCACTTTCCCTCCAGTTCTAGAACCATACAGCTAAAGTATTGAGAATTAGGCTATCATTGTTGGTCTATTCTCTAAAATCCTTTCTTTACATTTGGTCACTTTTTTTGGCTGTAGTTCATGAATAATTCATTCAGCTACTTTAGGGCTCTCATTGCCTCTAACTGAGTAAAAGGAAAATAGGCCATAGGATATCGGACAATAGATTTAAAGGCTGTGTATGATGAGATTCATGAATTCAGCGAGTCCCTGCATTACTCGCACGACCAACGGTGTTCAACACTCCTCTTTTTCTATCTTACTCAATACTTTTTTTTTCTCAAACTTTTGAATTCCCACAGTTTTTGGCATTCGTAAGACAATGGCAAGTCTCCGCGGTTCCTTAGCACCATTTCCCTTCCTCCCCATAGGATACTTGGTCGCTGCGGTACCTCATAGTCCGTGTGATACCCTTCTAAGCAGAGACTTGATTACCATCCAAGTCTTCCCGTCTCCGAATCTAATTCTCACCAGTGACACAACCTGACCAGATGGAGCAGAGTGCGTTGACTCAAAGGTTCGTAAAGTTACATACTTTATTACTCAAAACAAGGCCATCGTTGACGGAAATGTGATGTTTGAAACCGAGGAATACATCCCCCAGGCTGCAACAAAAAATGCCAAACCCAATGAGCTTCTTCATTTCCTCAAGGACTTGATCTCTCGGGATGATACGGTAGCAACATGAGGACCAGTCTACCGCCAATGGTTGTGACTAAGAATTTAATGAAGGTATTAAGAGGTGGACTGATATGCTTCTATCACTAAGCTTCTCCCGTGTCCCCGACAATGCGGTCAACAGCGATGACATGCTAATGATACGCTCAGTGGCAGACATGTTCTCCTACTCATACATCGGCAAGAGGACTATCCTGAGACCTTACTCAGACAGTCAGATCTCCCTGATAACAATCGATGGTATACACCTGCTATCGGACATTGTGGGTGTCACTAATAACATGAATTTGCAAAAAACTTACACCACATACACTTGGGTTGATGAGTTCTTCTGGGAGATCTTGGGATTCTGGATGTATATTAGCTCAAAGAAAATTTGCCATATATTTTCTCATGAAGCGGGGGAGTCGCACCAATACGATCTTGTCCGTAATTGTCACGATAAGTTACGAGAATGCTGTTCTCGAAGCCAGGGGTCACGCGGTGAACTTGTAAGATTTGTGTCGAGGTAAGAAGCCTCCGGAGCTTATTTAGAAGGCGAGAACTGTAATATAGTCAGGGTAGTGTTGGATGATGAGGTTATGTACGCCCGTACTGGGATTGCGTTGATAGGCATTCGAAGAAGTGGCCACCGCGCTGGCTCAGGGCGAATGTCGAGTCGCACATGGTGATCAACAACTATAAAGTCTGACGGAAGAGTTTTGAGGAGCGGATATTAGACATTCGTCTCAGGGAGGTGAAGGAGAGAGCCGAGGAAATAAGAAACGAGCTCGAGCTCGCAGGATATTCGTTCACCAGCCAAGCCGATCGACCTCAAGGATCTAACCAAGGAAATTTGGAGTCCTCCCACCCCAAGCCTCCCACATCTCTACATTGTCCATGAATCGGCTTTTCTGAGTCTCCCGGGCAGTTTTATATCTCTCTTTATGTTCTTTAGAAATTTGTTTTTAGAAAGACCACGTCTTCCCGGAGGGTACTTTATTCATGACGTCATTTCTCGGTATTGTCCAATTGCATTTCAGGATGAAGGGCGCACATTTCTTCTCATTTGGTTTCGATGACAGCTACATCTCTAAGTCTCTCGAAGGAGTGAAATAGTACGTAACTTGGTTTCGTTGAAACCTCTGTGGTTGATGCGTTCTGGCTAATATTAGCCTAGCCGCAATCTCCCCCCTAGATTCCACCAACCCATCGCTTCGGGGAACGTCTCAGAGGTCTACACGGCAGCGCTAGGGCCGCTGCAAGAATCTTGGGTAATCGCTTACAGAGATTCACAAGACACAAATAGATATGGTGCAGACCTCAAACCATCATCTCATTTGCATAGCTGACAATACCAGGATGTGGAAACGAGGTCCCATCGGAGCTGCGACATCTTCTCCAGCAGTCGACACCGACCCCACACCTTCGCGTCTTCATGGGACCTCTTCTACCCGCGAATTTGCAGTTTCCTTCTAGCTTGAACTCCTTTAATCATAACTCCTGTTTTGTCTCATATATGGCTTGGGACTCTGACTTCGTACGCTGGCGCTATATCCCAGATGGACTAGAAAGAGCTCTACAGTCATGGCTTACACCTGCGGGATGGAAATATGGCCCTCCACGAACCATTACGTGGGGGCCCCTGAATGCGCACTTTGCGATGAGCGAGTATGGCGAAGTTGATTACCAAGTTGGCTGGAGCGAACGCTGTCTCTCAGTACCGTGGCCAAGCCTGAAGGAGACGATTGAAGAATGGAATGCGGAAGTTGGCTTTCAGTGGAGTGACTTAGCGGTAATTACCAAGCCTACTCTCCAAGATAAGTGTTCTAATTGACACATAGTATATCTCTCTCAGCCCCACAACCAATGATGAATTTATTGTCATAAGAAACGACGGCACTTGGGCTGGCGCTGTTGATGACAGCAATGAAGAAGCGCTTGAATCGTTTGTTTTGAACTTCTTCTCCCGTGCTAGGCGGAAAGGAAGAAGTAGATCAAAGCCTAGTAGAGAGCAGCAAACCAGCGGGACGCTAAAGCCCACCGAAACTGCATCAGACGCGGCTGCTCAGGCCTTGTATGAGAAGTGGGCGACGGACGTAGCGAGCGCTTTAGCATTGGCTCTAGTAGCCAACGGGCAAAAGGCGCCGAAGAAATTGCAGGTTCGGAGTCAGAAAGTGAAACCTGCGATCCCCGCGATGGTGAATGGCGATGCAAGAGGAAAGCTAATATCCGAGTTCCCGTACCTACCTCGGGCGCTCACGATCTGCACCCTGCCACCATGTCTTCATTTGAAATCTGACCCGGTGGGATTGAGAGCATGTAAGCATGATGTAGAAAGGCACTTTTGCGCATCAGGGCTATAAAGTTACGACTGGTTGAAGCAGGAACGGTTACGGTGGCATCACGACCATTTTGGACGCCTCTGTGAGGAGAGCTGGAGAGCCACGGGAAGGGAATTGGCAGAAGAGATGTTCAAGACAATCGACAGTTTGATGGCCGACCTGGAGAAGATGGGAGTAAAGAAGAAGGAAGAGTGAGTCGCAGTTAGATTCGAGAACGGTGTTGTTTGGTGTGTCCATTCAGGTCATTTCGCAAAACTTCCAATGTACATACAATTCACGTGCTACGGCTCTGGCCAGAGACCAGTGTTCTTCCTGTAATGATGGTCAGTTTCGCGGGAGCAAAGTCATGGATGCCTCTTTCACCTTCATTGGCTGTGACGTGTATCGCCTACTCGTGTCTTCCCCCCCCCCTGACTGTAGCATAACCGTGCTAGATGGTGATTGAATCTTTCTTGTCGCGTAGGCTCGGCTATCATTTGCCTCCCTTGTTGACGGTTGTGATCTTTGGCAGGACCTTTTCCAGCTCCTCTTTATCTTTCTCTGTGGGTACTAATCCAAAGAACTCTTCGGCCTTGTCGGATAGTACCATGCCAGCGCCTGCGTACGCCATGATGCCGACGCCGATGAAGATGCGCGTTCGGGGGGTGATGGTGCGATACCAGCTACGATGAAGGGTCAGGCAAGGTGTTGAATAGAATGGCGAAGCAGGTACATACTCCCATAGGCCCATGGTGGTTGCCAATTTTGTGCGAGGAAAGAAGGAAGGAAGGGCGGTGGTCGCGACTTGGGAAGGAGAATCCGGCCGGCACTTGCCGCCAAGAATGAGATGTAACTTAACTTCATTTCCGCCCTCTGACCCGTCGTCTCTGCCCACCCCGCCTCTGTCGGCCACGTCTTGAGGGGCCCATCCTCTTGAAGAAGCTCCGAAAAGCCCGCCCGTGCGATTTGGGCCCCAGAACAAGGCAATGTTGACTTAGCCCCAGCTCCCACCTCGTCACATCCCCACCCCCACCACACCCGCACCCGCCCGCGATCCTCGACTCCCATGGTGTCTATTCCTGCAACCCCCCACATTGCCCACGATGCCTGGTTTCCGTCGTTGGGGAAAGTCCAAGTTCCAGAAGAACCCAGATTCGTCGTTCAAACTCCTCGCCGCTGTCCTTGTCATAACCCTGTACCTTATTATAAAAGAGTTCTCGCACCCGACAGTCCGCGTCGCCACGAAACCAGTCACGTCTGGCGCACAAATTCAGTTTTCAAAATGGCAGAATGGGACCGACAAGGCCGATTCGGCGAAGGCGGACCAGATCCGCGCTGCGATGAAATACACCTTCTGGAGGTATCGGGAGAATGCGTGGGGATACGATGATATCATGCCAGTATCTGGTGGAAACCTGACGACTCGCAATGGATGGGGAGCCTTTATCGTAGACTCTGCGACAACACTGGCGCTCATGGGCTTGTGGGACGAATTGGCGCTTTCTGTGGACCACATCCTCAAGGTCGACTTTACCATGGCAAATGGCCCTGTGGACCCTTTTGAGACGACTATTCGGTATCTGGGAGGCTTGGTGTCGTTGGTGGATCTTTCCGATGCTGGTATTATCCCTCAAAACATCATCAATCTGGATGCCCGCGACGCAATCCTTAAACAGGCCGTCTCGCTTGCGGCTGCTCTCGGTCCCGCATATGACACGCCAACCGGCATGCCGTGGCCTCGCGTCAACTTCACAACGCACGAGGGCGGTCCGGATCCCCCAGAAGTGTATTTGGAGAGTCCAGACAAGCCACACTCCAAGAATCCCGTCATCGGGCCGGCACGGACGGGCTCCTCTATCCTGGAAACTCGAACATTGACTCGTTTGACCGGCGACCCTATATATGCCGCGAACTCGACTAAGGCATGGGCACCGCTTGTATGGAGCAAGTGGATCACGCCGTGGGAGGGAATGGTCGATGCTCCCATCGACATCTTACACACAGAGCCGATAGGCCGGCAGCGCCATTGGGACGGCGGGCATGATTCCTATTATGAGTATTTGGTTAAAATTACATTGCTCGCTCCACCTTGGGATCCATACATGAATGACTACAAAAGACGATTTATCCACGCCGCTTACTCTCTCCGGAACTATCTAGCCACTCGTTCCGCACCTTCGCCATATCATAAAATGCAACACCTTTTCATCGGCCGTCAAGACGCCCAGTGGTATCTCAACAAGCAAGGCCACCTTGCTTGCTTCGCCCCAGGGACTATCCTCCTTGGTTCTAAGTTTTACGATCAGAAACACCTTCGAACCTTTGCACTTGCCCTCCTTGAAGGATGTCATCATACGTACACCTCTACCCCTTCCAAGATCGGGCCAGAAGCATGGTCATGGGTACCAAAATTTGGATACGATGACCCTGTCTATACCCCTGAAACCACCCGACAGAAAAGTGAGTGGTCAACATCCGGGTTCTGGTCAACGAACGCACAGTACCGAGGCCGACCAGAGTATGTTGAATCACTCTTCTACGCATGGCGCATCATGGGCGATCTCCGATACCGCGAGTGGGCATGGGAGGCTTGGCAAGCCATGGATACGTACTGCAAAGCTCCGTACGGCTATGCCCAGTTAAAAGACGTTTATAGACCCAGAGCCGAAGAATGGCCCGGAGATGGCACAGCTAGATGGACTGATATGCAAGAGAGCTTTTGGGCTGCAGAAACACTGAAGTACCTATACTTAACGTTCAGCGACGCCGATGTTGCGAGCTTGGATCGCTGGGTTTTTAGCACGGAGGGACATGTGTTTAGGATGATCCGGTGAGGAGTTGGGATGATACGTTAAAGGGGTTTATGCATTGCACGGCCTGGCAGGCATTTTGGATGGTGCCGTCACGACATGGAAGGGAGTACTGGTTGGTGTTAGGGCGCATGATACCCTGCTATCCTTATTCATCCGAAAATACTAGTTATAGAGGGCTTTATTTGAAGTATGATGGGATTCTAGCGTACACTGCATGACTCGATTCATCGATCGAGGGCAATTTTTCATCCTAAGCACCCATTTATCTATTCCTTCTTAGGTACTCATGAAAGTAGTCCCTTTAAGGGCGGCCTTAAACAAGTTCTCCGCACCCCTCCACTCCCAACCCTTAACCAGGGTAACCCACGTCAAGCTCAGAGGTCCCTTGGTTATATGTACCATGTCTGCCTGAGCCAGTAGTGCCTTGTTGCCTTGAAATGCCTGCTTACACCTCTCCTCCGTGACCGGGCGGTGATTATCCATGCCATATTCATGCAATCCAACCCAGTTGCTTGAAAAAGGCAAAGGTCGAAATTCAGATTGTGTGGTTGAGAAGGAAAACCCAAGGCTAGGTAGCGAAAGATTTCGCAGGAGGCCAGGGTGCTGGAGCCGTAGGTACATGGGGTCAGGAGTGTGTCGTCGATGCAGAATTTGGGTGAGTTAGTTGGGGGTGGGAGGGAGAGCGCGAACGCGTGGGCAAGAAAGTGAGGGAAGAGTAGGGGGGCGAGGGGGGTATTCAAGGAGTGCATGTTAGTGCGATGAGGTATGTGTTACCTACAGTGGGTGTTGCTCCTGCTCCTGCTGCAGCTGTGCCGAAGTTCTTGGTTGCTCCAAGCCCTGGATGTTTGGAAAAAGTCTAACATTACTATTTCAGATCCGTATCAGAGACTTATAAAGTTCAGGTCTATCCCGCTACCTACAGAATAACAGAGATATTGCTTTGTTTACTGACTTTGGTTACGTATGGCACCCGCATGGCAGCATGGAGAAGAAAGACACAAAGTCGAAGTGAAGAAGGACACAAAAAGCTTATCTGGTATGTTATCACTTATAATAGAACATGAGCGAGGTGAGTCTAGTCCATTGAGCCCCTTGCTGGATTTAAGGAGGGTTCTGTGAGGATGCTAGTTTCTATTGCAAATCAGAGGTGGCTAAATTTTGTTAGAAGTAATATATGTAGTGAGAAATTATCAAGAAACATAAAATTGAAAGTTACACTCCTTAGTCCATGTAATCAGTTAAAACTGTTGCTGAAATTTAGGGATAGCGATAACGAAATGCAAGTTTCTGCGTTGAACTGCTACTTTTCTGTTCCACTTGTCAAGTAACAAGATGCAGTGTCATAATGGTAATGCAGTTCGAACACAGATCATTAGGTGTCAAGACACGATTGAGATGAGAGGGAAAAGGTTATAGTAAACTTAGCTTCCTAAAATTTATGCAAGCAGTCGAAGTCAGAACACTAAAGCTGTCCTTTCGTAACTGCTTTTTCGCAATCGGAGCAGCATCGTTGACTGTGATGTCCGTTCAGAGTACTGAGACTCGGCCCAAACTGACCGTAGGGCTGGCGAGACAGAAGTAATAGAGTTTAAGGGTCTCAAAGGCTAGAAGCTGGTGAAAAGCCGAGTTTTCTACTTGGAATAAGAGGGATGAGATAATGTGGTAGATATAGGATCCAGAATTCATATGGGAATAAGGAAATAGCCCTTGCTGTAGCGAGATCCGGACCGCAAATGATACACCGCCTCTCTGACCCGCATCCGCCAAGCTGGAAGCCAGAGACAAGGCGTGAAAGCCACAGGGCGCTCCTTCCAATGACATCAGAGATCGGACGCATTGACTGTAGATCGAGCAAGCCACCTGCACTCAAGAGATCCAGACTACAAAAACGTCGGCATCCCAGATCAGACGTCGCATCTTGTTGTCGTTCATTTCTCGTCTTTCTCCTCCATCGAAACGCGTAGACTTCGTCAGACGATCAGTATGGCAAATCGAGGTGAAGCAGCGGATTATTACAATGGCGCGCCACAGGACAACAATTATCAGATGGAGAGTACAAAGTATCCACAGCAGCCTCCGCAGTATGGACAGAACTATGAGCCGCCGCAGGGAGCTCCGCCGAATGAGACTCAGCCGCCGTATGGCCAGCTGAATGGTGAAGGGAAACAGACCTTCGAACAAGCCTTCACAATTCAAAGTCCGAAATATCATGATTTGTGGGCTGGGTTGTTGGTGTGTTGACCTTACGCAACCTCAACAACGTAACGTTGCTAACGGGTGCAGTTCATCGCGGTGTTCTTAGGCTTCGCAGCAGTCTCCGGTATTGCAATTCAAGGATACTGTAAGTTTTCGCGCTCTTCCCGCGCTCTTCCCAAACCATTGCCCTACTCAAGTCTTTCCAGCGCACACATTTTCGTTCAATGGAGGCGGCATCTACAACAGCCGGAACGACTTTGGACTGTCTACGAATACCATCGTACTCTTCGCTTTCGTCCTCGTTGTGGCCATTCTTCTTAGCTATGGATACATGTGGACTGCCCGTGTTTTTACAAAACAACTAATCTGGATTACGGGAATTTTGAACATTGTCTTCGGCTTCGTCACGGCTATCTATATGCTTTCCCGGAAGTACTGGTCTGGAGGAGTCGTCTTCCTGCTATTTTCCATCTTCGCTATGATTTGCTTTATCTCTTGGATCCCGAGGATCCGGTTTTCGGTCCTGATGCTGCAAACCAGCATTAACGTCTCAAAGAAGTTTGGTCACGTATATCTTGTGTCGCTGCTCGGAGGTCTTCTTGCTACCGCATTTGCTGCGTGGTATTCTGTTACCCTAGTGGCAGTATACGTCAAGTACGAACCGTCATCATCGGGCAACAATCCAGCATGCAACACTGGTGCAGGAGGTTGTGGTAGCGGGAGGGTGATTGGACTGATCGTGTTTATCACTTTCGCCATGTATTGGATATCCGAATGGTTAAAGAACACCATTCATACCACCATATCCGGGGTTTATGGTTCCTGGTACTTCTGCGGCAATAACTTCCCGAGTGGCGCTACTCGTGGTGCTTTTAAACGTTCCATCACCTACAGTTTCGGAAGCATCAGTTTCGGAAGTTTGATCGTAGCCATTATCAACTGCCTACGACAACTCTGTTCGATTGCTCAACAATCGGCAGGGCAGGATGGAAACATTGTGGGCACGATTTTGTTTTGTTGCATCGGCTGTATTATTGGCCTCCTAGACTGGGCGGTGCAGTTTTTAAACCGATACGCCTTTTCGCACATTGCGCTTTATGGCAAGTCGTACATAGAAGCCGCGAAGGATACCTGGAAGTGAGTACCCCCCTGTTTGTATCGGTGTCCCCACCTTAATGGCTACTCCCTAGAATGATCAAGGACCGCGGGATCGATGCTCTTGTGAACGAATGTCTTGTCGGTCCGGTCCTCACAATGGGCGCTACTTTCATTGCGTATACCTGTGCTCTCCTCGCGTACCTCTACCTCATCTTTACCTCGCCAGCGTACAACCAGGATGGATCATATACGCCAGTGGTTGTCGCATTCGCGTTCCTCATCGGCCTCCAGATCTGCAACATTTTCACGACGCCCCTGAGCAGCGGCATTGACACGATCTTTGTGGCGATGGCGTGGGACCCGGAGGTGATGATGCGAGACCACCCGGACCTCTATCAGCAGATGGTGGCGGTGTATCCACATGTGCAACAGGCGATACATGCATAGCAACGTGGAGACAGGTGGAGAAATCGTTCGAGTGAGCAATAGTTCGTGGGAGCGTGCTTGTCACGTGCGACAGGTGTTCTCGGTAGCAGTAATAGTTGACGATCTCCGCGCAAACGCATCGTCGAAATGTTCAGCGACTTTCACCCACGTCTTTAGCGGGAGATTTGTGCGAGGGTATCCCTCACGGGACTTCTAGTCTGGCCGCCTTGGCACCGCTCTCAGCGTCGGAGGGAAGCTCTGCATGGGACCATGACGTACCATTGTCGTCGCAGTTGAAACGACATGCACAGGGCGGCGCATACGTTAGAGGAGCGATATTGCACAAATTCGCATCAGGGCCTTTTCGCCGGGTGCTTTGCAGGCTTATCTGATTCTATTCCACGGCCGACAACGGGGACCGGAGCAGCGAGTTGGGCAGCACTGCACAGCTGCGGCATTAATACTGGAAGAGTGCCTCTTCTGGTGGGGGGCTCCGAGTGTGCAAAACAGATAACTCTCATCCCTCGCGCCTCCCACTCTCTGCCATCCACTGTTGACTGTTGCTTTTGCCCAAGTCTGTCATCTGCGCTCTGCTCAGTCGGGGCCTCCATCTGCAGCCAATCACTTGCTCTTGTGCCCGGCTGCATCATCACCGCCTCTCGCTGCGGGGTACTCCTGCTCCAGGCCAGCTCACTCACCGTGCCCCCAACGCCCACGGACTCCTTCACAGGTCGCCGCACACTGTCCTCTAGTCCGACCAAGTAAGCCTCATATTTTTGCTTTAAATTGTTTGTCCCGGAGCCTCGCTCGCCCTCACCTCGTCTCTCTACCTCCTTCCCCTTCCCACCAGAGCTCCTTCCCGTCCTCACTCACACCTGCCAGGCCCAATTCGCCTGAACAAATTTCCCTTGAATAAATCTCCCTCTCCCTCTCCCTCTGCTTCTCCCTAGGGCTTCCTCCCGGCCAATTCCTCGACCCATTCACACGCCACTTAGCCTCTCCCCTGCAACACGTCACCAGCCAGCCACACGATGTCTTTCACTAAGAAGGCCGTCCACTTCGGCGGCGGCAACATTGGCCGTGGTTTCGTTGCCGAGTTCCTGCACAACTCGGGCTTCGAGGTCGTGTTCGTCGATGTCATGGACAGCATCATCGACGCCCTCCAGAAGAACACGTCGTACACGGTGACCGAGATCGGCGAGGACGGCGAGCGGACCTTCACCATTGACCACTACCGCGCCATCAACAGCAAGTACGAGCTACCCAAGGTTGTCGAGGAGATTGCCTCTGCCGACGTCGTCACCTGCGCCGTTGGCCCCAACATCCTCAAGTTTATCGCCGAGCCCGTGGCCAAGGCCATTGAGGCCCGAACCCTCGACTACCCCCTTGCCGTCATTGCTTGCGAGAACGCCATCAATGCCACCAACAAATGGCGGGGTTTTATCGAGACCTACATCGAGGACAAGCTCAACAAGGATACCCTGAAGGACATGGACAAAAAGGCGCGCTACGCCAACTCGGCCATTGACCGCATTGTCCCCCACCAAGACCCCGATGCGGGCCTCAATGTCAAGATCGAAAAGTTTTTCGAGTGGTGTGTTGAGCATAAGCCCTTCGCCGGTGCTATCCAGCCCGAAATCAAGGGCGTCCACTTTGTCGACGACCTGCAGCCGTACATCGAGCGCAAGTTGTTCACCGTCAACACTTCCCACGCCACGGCTGCCTACTACGGCTACCAGCGTGGCAAAGCAACCATCCACGATGCCATGACTGACAAGGATATCCATGACATTGTGCGTGACGCTCTCAAGGAGACAGCCCACCTCATCACCAACAAGCACGAGATCACCACCCAGGAGCAGAGCGAGTACGTCGAGAAGATTATTGAGCGCATTTCGAACCCCGCCTTGGAAGACAAGGTTGAGCGTGTCGGCCGTGCCCCGCTTCGAAAGCTCTCCCGCAATGAGCGCTTCATTGCACCCGCTGCCCATCTGGTCGAGATGGGTGACAGCTGTGAGCACCTCCTAGGTGCGGTAGAGATGGCCCTCCGCTTCCAGAACGTTGAGGGCGACGACGAGTCTTTCGAGCTTGCCAAGATCCTCAAGGAGAAGTCCGCCGAGGATGCGACCAAGCAGATCACCGGTTTGGATGAGTCACACGGCCTGTACGCCATGGTCGTACCGATCGTCGCCAAAGTCCAGAAGAGCGCTTCTCTGTAAGGGAATCAACAAGCTCAATGTACAATTGTTTGGAGCATTGGCCTCCATCTGTTAGAGGGACTTTGCAACTAGACTGGGGTATATACCGGGAAGTGAAAAGCGTGGTCGGTACAGCGGTGCAGGTCATCATGGATCTTCTCCGCCGGACGGACGGCTTCCTTCATGTCACAATAAAAGATTGACGAATGGGACACGATTGATGATTCCCCGTTTTCTTGCATATTTTTGGTGATTCTTCGTTGTTACGCCTGTGATCCACGTCTCACCGCTGTTGTGGGCGGATGATGGCGTCGTGAATCAACATCCTGGCTGCCTCTTAGACCCTGTTAGTTAATCTCCTCTGTATTCAAATGCCACTCCGGCTCTTACTAGTTTTGCTCTTTCGCTGTCTCCGAGGTCGTGTCCGGAGCCGTAGAAGTGGAGCAGATGATGCACGTGGCCCACTTTCGTCAAATGCTCAATGGAGCATGGATGCAGCTCCTTCGGAACCCCGAGAACCTCTATAAGAGGGCTTCATAGTCTTTCCAAACTCTTTACAGCATATTATTGCATACCACGGAACATAAATGGAATATATTTGATCCACCAACCCTCTTTCTAGAGTTGAAGGCCTTAAGACGGGGGAAATGCGACACCATGTCGTTCTTTGGGGAGTAACTAAGAAGCCGAGCAAAGGGCTGCCAGCGCTTAGTTGTTTCTATATCGAGAGGATTGTGGTCAAGAAGCAAAACATAAGATTTCTGTTGCGTAGCCTAGGTATTTGTTTCTGTTCGCAGAAGACTACAGAATATCCACATGCGTGAAGTGAGTTCGATGTGGTTTCCTTAGAGATATTGTGAGGCCCCCGCTCTGGAGCCAAAAACCCTAGCATGGGAAAGTAATTTGCGAGTTTGAGTCAGCTTATCCTTTGTGGGGGAATTTGGCGAAAGGTGGTTAGGTGCGGGTAGGTTCCGTACCTGATGCTTCTTATATAAGAATGAACATATGAGCTACAGATTCCCCGTCGCTGCAACATTGATCCGTAATTGACCCTTGACGTTTTGGTGACTGAAAAAGGTGGAGTATTGAAGGACTAAAGGGAGATTGATATGTATTGGCATGCAGAGCAGGTGGAGGAGAGATTCTAGGATAGATATTATTGGATGAACATCTGTGAAGCGTTTCTCACTCATCTCTCCCGTATGGTGGCTCATGCTGGAAGTATTGCAGCACAACCTTGCAAAGACTTCTATCCTGCCGAGAAAAAAGTAAGCTGTAAGAAAGGACGGAAGGCTGTATTCGAGTTCGAATGGTGCTCTCCAATACTTCTTCGATTTTGAGGACTACATCACATACCGAAAACTTTCGTTTAAGCTGAACTTTTCGTCTAAGGAGAGCCATTCATTGAATTTGAATTTCTTGTTCATGTGGAATCTGACATTCAAGCTGATGTCGCTGACCTCGGACAATAAATGGTCAGAGCACCACATCTTCTAATGAGAGCAATGCTGACACCGCTATTCCGTAGCAACGGGTTGGTGAATGAGGAGTGCGTGGAGTATGAAGAAGGGCTTACTTGCGCCGAATAGTGTCAAAGAGCTTAGGAAGCCTATGTGGACTCCTTGGATTGCTTGTTTGGAGCTCGGGATCCCGGATGAGAATGTTTCCAATTGCGCTAGCTTAGAGAAAGTGAGGTTGATAATGAAAATACTGTGGCCCCTGCATCTAGAGTCTGGTTAAAATTACAACGTTAACGCTCAAGCTTAGCTTCAGACTTACTTAACCCACCGTGGGAGACATGAATGTATACGAGGACACCTCCCCCTCCACCACTGGCAAGGAAGAGGCTCTGACACTGGGATACCGTCTCCTCCCCACAACCCTTGACCACCACCTTGTTACACACCTGATCGAATATACGGTTCCATTCCTCTTGACCCTTTGGACGTCTCACTGGGCCACAGAGACATCACCTATGCGCAATTTACCAACGCCATCAACTACGCCGTGACATGGATCAAAGCACACCTACCACCACCAATACAGGTATTCGATACCCTGGCATAGAAAAGAACTAGGGACTTGCGGTATGTGAATATTGCAGTCGCGGTAGCAAAATTAGAGTGGAGATTATTGATGCCAAGGCCGACGCGCACACGAGAGGCGCAGGCACACATTCTTAGTAAAAGAGGATGTAAGGCATTCCTGTACGGTGGGGGTTTGGGGGAGCTCGTGGGGAGCGTGGTGGCTGGGGTTCAACATAGGAAGGTCGAAGTGTTGAAGATCCCGGGGTAGGAGCCCAGGTTGGATAATAGGAAGGAAGCGGATTGGGTTTCTATGAAGAAGCGTTGAGTGGAAGGGCGGTATGATCCATGGCTGACATTCCACACAAGTGGTACTGCGGAATTCCCTAAACCAATCGTATATACCCACCAAATGGTCGAGGTTCCAGATTCTACCTGGTTGGTGCTCGGTGCGGATGGAGGGAATTGCATCCATCTGCCTGGCAGACGCTAGTATACTCCGATTCCCAACCCTCCATGTAAGCTCAACATGCTTAATACCTAGAATCCTAAGCTTGCTAACCAGGTTGCACGAGATGGTAGGAACGAAAGTCGCCTTGATCTGACCCAGCTTCTTCGTCTCGATCGTGGTGTATGGGCAACTAAGAGACTGCACGACAGCCACAATGTGTGATACATTGCGCTATGAAAAAGCACAAGGCACAGTCGCTGTGCCCATTCACCCTGACGCCCTGGTGCAAGGCTCAGAAAGCCTCAAAGTACTACACGCATTAGACTGTATCTATTTCGCGGGGGCCCCACTTGCTCGTCCAACAGTGGAAAGGCTACTTGGCTACACACAAGTAAAGTTCGGACATGGGACTACCGAGGGCGGTATTGTGTACGGGAAAATAAGAGATGAGGAGGGTTAGGAGTATTACACCTTCCGCGACATGAACGGCATCCAGTTCGAGCATGTGGACAATGATCTGCACGAAATGGATGTAATCCGGAACCCTGCCTTTGAAGGTTGGTGGCATATTTTCCACGTTTCCCCGGATCGGAAGGTGATCCGTACGGGAGATCTGTGGGTTGTGCAGAATGAAAAGCTGGGGGCGTGGAAGTGTCCGGGCAGGACTGATAACGTGCTTGTTTTCTCGCGTGAGTTGAAGCCGCGGTGCGACCGATCTTAAAACGGAACTGAGTCAGGCTCCAGGTGTTGCTGGGGTGGTGATTGGAGGACAAGGAAGACGGCGCCCGTTTGTGCTGGTTGAGTGGATTGTGGAAGGGGTCAGTGAGAAGACGAAGCTTGAGCTACTGTAGCCGGCGATTGAGAAGGCAAACCTGGGGTATGCTGATGTCGTGAAGATGGCAAAAGAGCTAGCAATCTTGACGGTACCGAGAAAGCTGTTGGTGAGGAATGTGAAGGGGTCACCGTCACGCAAGGCTTGTGAAAAGCTGTATGCGGAGGAGATAGAGCACCTCTACGCCATTGTTCGAAGTGAATAACTGTGTGATATATTGAGCGAGTGCAGAGCAGTAGAAAGTAGAATTCACCGTAGTAAGTCAAGAGGCAGCGTGACGGGTGACCGAAAGGGGTGTGTCATTGAGTATGATCACGTCCACCCCGCTTTGAGCCTCTCAATCGCTTCGGCTTCAGGCACCATGTCAGCCATCTTTGCGTTCATGTCGAACATGTTCGCAGCGTGGATCTCGGCCGATCGGTCGCTGCAGGCCTCGCTAACGACCTATGCAGAGTCAGTCAATGATGCCGGGCGACGGATTGGGCGCCAAGGCTCAAGCATACCATTGGCCAGAAGCCCAGACACATTGCCTCGAGTTGAAGTCCTCACACATCTACTTGTGCTCACGCCTTAGACAACGAACATGTCTACGACCTTCAATTGCAGCCGTGTGTCGAGGTCCGTCGCAAAGAAGGCGCTGGGATACCGCTTGAGGACGACCAGCTCGCCGTCGCGCGGCTCCAGGCCCGTAACACAGCTCTCCAAGCCCGTCTCGATGCCCTTCTGGAAGACAGTGAGCAGCGGCGTCTTGTAGAAGAAGATTCCCGCGTCCGACATGTCCGGCTCCGTATATTCGACTCTTGTCCGCCGCACGAGCGGCACCTTCCCTGCGCGCAGCCGCAACGAGAGACGTCTGATCGAGGCAGGCGCGATCGCCGACGCCGGGTTCGCGAGCGTGTTCAGCGGCGAGCCTTCGGTCTAGTATGCGTTGCAGACGTCGATGAGGAGGAGCGCCGGACGGCTGCCCCAGCCTATCGTGTGCGCGAAGCCCGACTGGAGGTAGCTATCCGCCTGTGCATAGTCCGCGAGCGCCATGGCAGGCATACCCAGGACTGGTGCGGTCGAACTGTCTAAAGGTCAATCAATTCACATCAACGCGACTCCATCTTATACACCATCTCCTCCACCCGCACCGAAGACTTGGTGATATCATGCCGGATAGCATCGCGATATCGGGGATCATGGAAGGTGGAGCTCGCTCTCGTTTTGGCACACGCCGCCGCCCACGGAAACGTGCTTCCGAAGGATGTCAACTCCGGAACATAATTCAACCGAGGTATCATCTATTCGCGACCTCACCTCTGGTCTCCGCTCTGCTCTCAATATGCTCTGATCAGGATCGAATCGGACTAACCTGGCCGTCAGCGACGTGTCGTGTGAGCTCCTTCGGTGCGCCCAGAGCCCTCTGTTCATTCACGATTCTGCCTCGGCTTGGCATGATCGGACTTCCCCACCAGCCCCCGGCGGCGAACGACCCCCTTCCCTCCTCCACCTCCAGTGTCGCCATGGAGGTAAGAGAGGGAAGAATAGGGAACGCCTTTGCTTGCGAGCGATGTAGGAAGCACAAGGTGAGATGCGTGCCCTCCGATACCCAGGGAATCTGCCAGAGGTAAGCCATATCTGATTACTTGTCCCGACTCGGCATAACACGTGCTTCAGGTGTCAGAAAGCCCGGGTCGAGTGTATTGAACATGTTGCGCGACGGAGGCCAGCAAAGCCCAGGAATGTCGTACAGACGCCGAATCGAGTGGCCGAAATGGAAAAGAAGCTGGACAAGCTTTCCGCCATTGTTACGGCTACTTCTGCGCCGAGCTCCGCGCCTCAACCTCCTCTCCCTCCGGTATCTACCTTTCCTTCTCAGGTGCCAGAGATAGCTCAGCGTACGCCAACTCCAGCTCCTGCAGTACCAACAACCCCTACCCCTTCTGCATCCAAGACTCCCATCCTGCCGAATCTCGGATCTACCCCTGAGTCGGCTTTATCGTTCTGGGAGTCTATTAACGACACCATTTCTGGATTAGGACGCCTTGATCCTGTCCTACGATCTATCAGCGTGATTCATATGCAGCTGCTCTTGGAAAGCTACCGAGCCATGATCGACTTCTTCCCGTTTGTGACATTACCAAAGGAGTGTTTCTACCGGGATTTGATCCAGAAGCGACCGATATTAATGTTCGCCGTACTCACAGTGACATCGTATGACTCTTCATTGCTGCAGCTTACGCTAAGCCGGGAGTTTCGCAAGGTAGTCACCGTGAAGATCATGAATGGAGAGAAGAGCTTGGATCTGTTGCAAGGATTATTAGTCTTTATAGCTTGGCATCATCACTACATGGACCCGCAGGCGGTATCCATACAGATGCTTCTCCAGATCTGCATCGGCATATCGGGTGACCTTGGCTTGGACAGTATATCGCCAGCTACTGCGTATCACAAGGAAGATCCACAGAATAGAGAGGCAAAGAGGGCATATCTGGGATGTTACTACTTGTCTTCGAACCTTGGCATGATGGAGATAAGTAAGAACCGGGGCTTGTCGCACTCTGTTATACTCCGGAACTATGCCTCAGAGCTGGCCTCTGCATGGGAATTCAAGTCCGATTCGGTTTTGCTAGCCCTCGTTGAGACTTGCCAGTTCATGGAAGATGTGGAAGAGACGTTTTGTAATCAGTCTGAGCAGGCGCTGGTCGCCAGGTCTCAGGTGAAGCGCCTCAGTGACAAATGGGATAATATGAGAATTTCATCGCAGCAACTAGCGGCTGACTTCAGTAAGATAAGCTCCCTCCACGGACCGTTGACATTGCTGACTTTGAATTGCTAGAAACTTTGCAGTGGGTGCATATGGCTTCTCGAGTTCGCTTATACAGAAGCGCCATGTCCCTAGAGCTTCTGGACCGGGACAGCACATCATGGGCCTCCGGTTTTCAACTGTCCTTGCGTATCACGGGTCTTCGGTCCATCGAGCAATTCCTCGACAACAGCGTTCAAATGGCAACTAATCAGTATGAGTTTTTGTCAATCATCGACTGGCTAAATCTAATCTCCGCCCTCACTGCACTCGGAAAACTCGCCGTTCATTCCACGCAAATCCCAGGATGGGATCCGGCCGACCTTCAACTAGGAAAAACATTTGAACACTTCCAAGAGCACTTATGTTCTCAGCTCCCTCGACCACTCGATAGCCAGGAGCGCAAGGCAGAGGATGTCTTCGACCGTTTTCGACGAATCACCGCCATCATGAAGATGGCTCTGAAGAGCGTACCAGGGCGTTCAAGCCCGAATGGATCGACCTTTGAGATAACAACCAGCTCGAGACAGACAGTATCATTGCTTCAAGACTTGCCACCCCTTAAACCGAATGGAATTGCCAACGGTACCGATCTGCCAGCACCGTGGAAGGTCAATCCAACTTTCGATATGTCGAGCAATGAATTCCCTTGGAAGTTTCTCATGGGGACACTTTAGCCAGGAAAGGGTGACACATATTCTTATCGTCTGACCGAATGAGCTTTCGTGATGCTGCCATTGCGTACCTGCAAAATGCGACGGATTGGCTGGAGCGTTCTAAGCTGTACCAGATCGCTCGAACACTGCCTTTCCGCGTTGTCCGGCTACTAGAAGTGACTCACTAATATAGTTTAGGTTCATCAAATGGTGAGGCATTCTCTCAACTCACCCCTAATGCTCGCTAACTGATCAAGCCAGATTAACCGTAACGGGCTTTGCAGTTAACTGCTCTACCGATTCGATACCAACTCATGCTTCTACTATATCATATTGAAAGCACGTCGAATCGACGCTTTCACAAGGCATCCTCAAGGCAGAATCTGAATTTGGGGAAGTTGACAGGGTAGGCGCAGACACAGCCTCACCGAAGTGTGTCAGACCGCTCAACATCCCTCACCACGGAAAGTGAACATAATCCTTCAAAGCGTCTCGTATCCGTTTACGACTCTGTCTTTGCCCATGGATTGGTTTAGCGCTATCAAGGTGGATCACGTGATGTAATACTTTCTTTCGATCTATGTAGATTTCTTTGTACCATTCAATTGGACCTTTTGGCGAACTAGCAATCGCTAACCAACTCCCAACTTGTTTCGAGATCAAATGTGTGATGTGTGCTCAGGCTATCCTTCCTTCTTCCCAGCACACCCTGCCACATTCGACGTATACTGCAGGTGCTGCTGTAATTAGATCTACAACTGCCAACCTCACTTGACAACGAGAGATTTCAAGGTAGATTCCCAAGATGCTCTGCTCACTCACTCACCTCCACTAGTACGTCACACGACCTTCTCTCTCGTACCACCAGCAAACGCCCCTCAGCCCCAATTCTAGAACCCCAGAACCTGATCCCAAACCCTGACGGCGCTATAAATTCTCGACTTCCTTCCCGCCAGGTTGGCGGCACCGGACTCATACGGCAACCCAACGATCGACAAATCTAGGTGCAGAAACGGACAAGGACTCACAGTAAGCCAAAGCAATTGGCGAGAGGTAAAGCAGCTAGTGGAAAATAAGCCTAGCGCTAACATGAACAAGCTTTTTGAGGCCTTTCACGGGTTCCATTCCAGCCTCTATCAACAAACTTTTCAACTCTCTTACCATTGACTGCGAGGAACAAATTGCAAGATATGGGCTGTTTCAATAGTAAACCCTCGCGTGGTAACGAAACATCAGCCGCGAATTATGCAGGCACTGGATATGTAGCTGGGGATGCAGGGGGAGGTCATCATGGTGGTGGAGGTCATCATACGTATGGAGGGGATGGAGGAGCTGGTGGAGGAGACGCTGGTGGAGGTGGGGGAGGTTGAGGTCAATTGACTTCGAAGAGGTTTCACAGCTGTACACAACGTTTGGCCGGGGTTGAACCCCAATTTTATGTGATCAGGATAAGGATCAGGATAAAGAAAACGTTCTCAAGCAATCTTCGAAATTCCTTGTTGGTCATTTTGACAAAATCTCCATTATCAGAATTCAATTAGTCATATACTGCTTTCGAGAAACGGGTTCTAAGTGTCCAGGAATCTGCATCCCTCCCTCGTATCTCAGCTATCTTGAGATCGTGCACTCTCTTAGCGTTCTCGACACTCCCAGTCTCATTAATGAATGTTAACACGCTATCCACGACCTCTTATGCCTCCATAGCAAAACCCAGTGATCCTCTATCAGGATAAATATCATGAGGCGCATCTTGAGCTAGACCTTTCTATAGTCTGCATCTTGCATCCCATTGGCGAACGCCACAATAAATCCGTAGAGAGCTTCCGAGATACCTTCTTGGATCCAAAGCTGAATGTCGAGTTTGAACGGAGCCTGCATAAGGGGTACGTACGAATGTTGCTGGTCTTCGAAGACGTTGTCTTTAAACGCCCTAATACTGTTGAGAGTTAAGCTTAGACCAAACCAATGAAGTGGACCTTAGCGTTGTCCACGTTACAATGATTAAAATTTATTTACCAGGGCACTAGGGTAATGCGGCAATAGACAACGGTAGCTGGAGGATTTCGGGTACTAGATTCCTCCAATCGTTTGGTCTTATGATATCATCAACTAAGATGTCGGCGTAGATGGACTTGGGTAAATGTTCAACGACGAAAAAAAGATCGCTTTCAGATCTGGGCTCCAGGAAGGTTGCCATTTTGATTTTTGTTTGGCCGACGTAACATAACCATGACCACATCAGAACTACAAGGGCTGGAGATTTACGCATCCATTTAGGGTTCTCACGGAAACGGCGAGGGATGTAATACGAGAGGAGGAAGTTAACGGAATAAGTACCAAGATGATGAATGCTGTATAATACAGAGCCTTAAAGATATATCGCCCTTAAAGATTTCTCGATCCTAACATTACGCACTAGTTTCCATTCGCCAAATGCGCTTTGGAGGTAATCGTGTGAAGATGGTAGCTTTAATTGCGCGACCCTCAATTGTCTTGGGGAAGCCGGAAGGAAGGAGGGCATTTAATTGTGCCTCAACAGTCACGCAATTAAGGTACGGCCGGTCGGTTGCGGTGCCTAGGGGCAATATAGAATAACGGGTCAGTGTATGTCAGATAGGTTAGTAATTTTCTCGGAAATAAAATGGTTTCTTTTTCACAGGACAAAATAGATTAGCGCGCAATTTCCTTGCTTACATTTTACCATTAGATGCTTTAAGTTCTTTTTCAAACTCGGTACTGTCTTCCACTGTCTGCCACGCGGCCCACGCATCGCTCCCGATCGTGGTTGCTGCATAGAACAAGTCCTTCGGGTCTCACTTCTTCTTGATCTCACCTAGCTTCTCATAATTTTCTCCATAAAGCTTCTCCCCCCATTTAGGATTCTGGAATCCGTTTCCCTCATGTAATCCCAGCCCCCAAAGGCCTACAAGGGCGGCATGACCTCACCAATAAGAAGCATTCCCTGGGCTGTCATGTCTGAGACCGGGCTCGTGTAGTTCCAGAATTGGGGGATTACATCATAAACTAAAGTGTCACGCTAGGCTGGGAGCAGAGCATTTGGGGAAGGACGACGAGGGAGGACGAGAGACGTTGAATGCATAAGCAGTGAAGTAGAATTGGGTGGTTGTGCAGATATTGCAGAGTAAGTTTATAGTTTCTCCATTGTGCTGAGCGATGCTCGTGCGATTCACCATTACACCGCCTTAAATCTGAGCTGACGGAACAGGCCCATACAGAAGAGGTCCAGTGTAGCGGCCGGCATGAGGCAGGAAGCTCGGGAGTGAGGTTACGTTCAACTGATATGACATACTCCCCGTATCAAGATATTCCGTGAAAGGTGAAGGAGGTCTCGAACATCGCGTTCCGTTCCACCAGGAGGCGTCAATTCGCCCCGCAAGAACACGAGTCCGAAAACAGCCCATTGCATATGTGCTTCGGCATCCACAATCTACGGAATGATCGTCTAGCGGAAGTGAGGGCATTCCAGAATGTGTCGATCGGTATGCTAGTAGAAGAAAATGCCATGCTGGCGCCGCTGGCAGCTCCATCTGGATGCGCTTTCGCGGTTAGGGAGAGTGTGACTCCATATGGCACACCTCCGTCGTCGCTTAGCACCCAATATAGGCCTGCATTCTCTGTGGGAGACGTGGTTATCAAAGCCCAGCTTGCGGTCACGACTTCCCATTCGAGGGTTTGGTATACGCCCATGCCATGCACTGAGCTCAACATTCTAAAATATATTCATGAGTAGGTAATGAGACGGAGAGCGGAAGTCTTACGAATGTCCTCCACCTTAGATATACCCGCCCGCAAGTTCAAAAGTCACGCACTCTCCGCCTAGAACCTGGAGACCTACTGTTCCTGCAGCCTCATAGGCCTCAAAAGCTTGAACTCCAACACCCATTCTAATCGCTGGGCCAGAGTACGCAGAACTAGAATAGTTGAAGAGCTTGATGTGCTTAAGGTTATGAGTCCATGATTTCAGGGCTCCTTTCCCTGTCGACTTTCCTAAGTAACTATTTATTCGTCAGTAGTTTATTTTAGAGGTTGAGTGTAGTTAGTCAGCACTCATGCCCAATGTTCTTAATCACAAGGCGCGGATTCTTCTCCTGCGCAGAACGAAGCCTAGCTGCCGTGTCCGCTGCCGAGGTAACGTCGGTCGCATAGCTAACGTAGTTTCCTAGTAAACATGGACTCGAGTGAGAAGTGAATGGGCCACAGCTCGCATTCTAATAGTAAGCAGCCATAAAAGCAGCCATAAACGCAGAAGAGTCATCGAAACTGATCCTTAATCAGTAAATTCTGGATTAGATTCGAAGGAATTAGAGAGACACTGTGCTTGGGGAAAGGACTACATCTGCTGCAGTATCTCACATGCCGTCTCGTTGTATGCCAGATCATGGCAAACAGAGCCTACCGGGACTTAGGCGACCTGACATGCTACTATTCAGACTTTGCCTGTCCTATGACCAAGCCCAGTCATTGGCCCCAGGAAGAATGCGACAAGGTCTTGAATTATTGTGTTGATTTCTCCCAGCGGTGCGTGAAGTGTCACCATTGGCGAGGCATAGGGAAAGCAAAGCTAGAAGCCCAAGTTTACCAGCCATTTACTCAAATTAGCAAATGGAAGCTCTTACCAATTAGAGGAGAGTTCAGGAAGGTAGAATCGTATTTCGTTGGCACAGGTCTTAACCATGGAAACTCTCTGCACTTTGGGTGAAATTGAAGAGTAGGGGCAAGTCGGTGATCGTTGATTGCCCGTTGGGTACTAAACTAGTCGCCTTCTTCAAGCGTAGTACTGTGATAAAAACACCCTCTGATTCGGCGACAGAAAATCCTTAGTAGCCAAGCCCACATCTCAAATTTAAGTAACGCGGGAGGTCGGCCTTCAGAGAAGTATCTGATCTCTTGACCAAAACTTCTTTGAGCACACCTAACCACATTTTGTGTTTCAGTACCGAGTGCAATCTCAGGCTTATGTTTTCCGAAGCCCGACTATATCTTGGGGCGCTGCAATGTTATATCACTCTGCTCTTTCTCTTCAGGCAGCTTATGCAATCTTATGATACATCACACAAAGAACGTGTTAGTGCTCTCTAAGGGGTAGAATTCCATTCGAACCTGGAAATTGTAGTTGCACATGTGTCTTGTCGTGCTATGGAGCACATCAGATCCCGTAGAACATATAGTCGATTTAGATCTTCTCGAAATGCGACTTGGCCTTCGAGGATCCTAGCACAGGTTTGCACCAAGGCGCCCAGGAAGCTTACATGCCTGCTGAATTAAAGAAAACGTCTTCAATTGTGATTTCACCACATCAGGCGCCCATTCTAAGGCTACTTTCATTGGGATGAAGTGGCGTCCCGTGTTTGCCGATCTGGCGAACCCGATGACTCTAAACTGATGGGAGTCGGCTTGGGTGGTGATGAAGATAGCTTAGCTCTATTGTCTAGAGCCTATTGACAGGGTGAGAATGAGAATATTGGAGGAGGGGATTCCTACATTGGAGGTTGAAGAAAGTTGGGCAATGTGGTTGGGGTGCTCAAGCTCGGTGAGGTAAGGAAGTCCCAAGCGGTGCCCCTCAGTCGCTTCCTCAAGGCTGGAATGACGTCGATGATCAAATATGATACTTCATCATTGATCACGTCATGCATCTACCATGATCTACCACCCCTACCCTTCTCTTGTCAGACAGACATCAGTCTTTGTATTTCCACAATGGGTATTCCATATTCCCGTGAAATCAACGCTGCCTTCGAGCAGGTAACACCTCTCGTAGCGCAAGGCTTCCAAGTCCTGCGAACCACAAAAAACATCTCCATCCTTCTCGCAGTTATCCAAGTGCTAACAGTCCTGATCTTGGCCATGATTCTCTTCGCGCTTCTCGGGATTCTGTATTCTGTCAACCCAGATCTCGAGGCCGAGAGGAAGGAAATTGTTACACCAGTGTTCAGATGGTTAGCCGGAATCTCATTGCGCGCACTTGTGAAGAGCAGTTTTAGTTCATTTCTTGGCATTTTTGTCCTCGGTACTAGCTCATACCTTCTTTGGCCATACGAAGGCGAAGAGGATGAGATAGGTCGTGCTGCGAATTCAGATGGGGACTTGGATGACAAAGAGAAGAAGGAGAAGATGAAGAAGAAAACTAAAGATGTTGAGGAGAACAAGAAGAAGAGATGAAGGCAAATGAAGAGACCTGCAAAATATAAGAGTAACAGCAATATCCCCGTGAGTCCTTGTTCTGTTTTCCTTCATTTATTTCTCTTCGATCAGGCTAAGCTAGGCCAACCACGAGGCTGTGAGAAGATCCTGGCTTGAAGTTCAATCTCAGCACTGTGACATCCCTCCTCACGCATCCAGAGCGCCATTCTTAGCTCTTTGGTATCTTCTAACAGACAACAAGACCCCCAAACTTACTCGACATCCTCCTCGAACAAGCCTTCGACGACGACTACCTTCCTGTCCAGCCGCGATTCCTACCACCACCTTTTACTCCTTAAGCGTGACCTTGATTTGCGAATGCGCAGACCCCTCTTCTTGCTAAGTCCCTCGATGTTGAGCACGGCAGACATCGCCATTTTCTCCTGATGACATCTTTTCATTGATAGATTTGGCGGCGGCAATTACAGCCACGTTGGTAAGGTGCAGGATGGGTTTTACTTCCAATATTATGGCCCAAAGCGTATGCGACGGCGGAAACTTTTCAGCAATAACACTAAGAAGGCTATAAAAATGTTCGTATCTGAGATCGATACCATAGAATGCACGGAGCATAGACAGATTGTTCGATCATAAAGAGGACCGTCGACCGGCTGACCTAGCGGGCCTATTCACCAACTGGTTGATCAGAGCCCAACGGGTGTTTAAGATGACGCTTTCAAACTGGGGTTTAAAGCCACTTTCACAATTTCCATGTCTTAGCAGACAAGTAGTGAAGTGTTCTCCGTTGCACTTGTGGTCATTGCTCAATGTGGAATGGTTTTAAAGTCAAGAGGTATTATTATTTTACCCATTCACACCAACTAGTTGGCGCTAACTTCGCCGGAGTCGGTGCCACCAGTCGCGGGCTCTTCACAATCCTGGTAATCCAAATGAGTAGCCCGTCTCGATTCTGCCTTCGCCACAGCATTAGACTAGGAAAAACTGTATATGTACAACTTCACAGCGTACGGATGCGCAACACATCCTGGGAGAATCATTTGAAAGCTATGGCGTGCCCTTGATACGCGTGGACTACTAAGGATCATCGCGGGCCTTCTGCTCTGCCTCCTCAACCTTGCCACTGTCTTTCCCTACCATGCTGATGAGAACAGAGCACCCACCGACTTCCCTGCGGTTCTACTTTAGCCGTATGTACTGGAATAAGTGCAGAGCCGAACGCTGGGTTGCAATATTCCAAATCCTTCAGTCTCTCATTAAATGGTTCGATTATCCCATATCTAATATACACCTCTTAAACCTATTCTATGAGGATATAGTTGGAGAGCCAAATTTCCCTAATAAAGACCAGAAGAACACCGAAGCTAGTCCTTCCCCTAGCCCTATTTAGCTAATTACCTTTTGCTCTTACTGGATAGAGTGTAATGGCGTGATTTGTTATATAGAATAAGAGACGCGGCGGTATACTTCAGATTACTTGATAGATTCTTCGGAGAGTTGCATCCCCGTGTCATCAGGGATCAGACAAACCCTCACAACTTTCCTACCACCCTCAACAGCGATTTGAGAAGACAGAATTACTAATGTCACTGCATCACCCAGCATGACTAAAAAGGTACTGCATCCCTTGAAAAATGACCTCTAGAAGCTTGTGGAATATGAATTGATCGCTGAGCGCACTTCTACTGACGCATTCTTTTGTGCTCTTTTCTCGAGAATTATCTTTTCAGGTGCCCCACTACAGCCAGCTCGTTCCCGCATGCGCTTGATTCGTTCTAAATAGCTCAGTAAGGAATATGACCCTCTGCCTTTAGGATATGCGAACGAACGCCCGAGTACCGACTCGCAATGTGCGACAACTTTGCGCCGCTATTTGGGGTGCACAATATCAAGATGTACGACAGTATTGGAAGACAACAGAAACCCAGCCGGGGTTCCACTGATACATGGCTAGGGATTTTTTAGCAATTGGGGACAATACATCTGCTTACGTTGATTGTATACATGTAAATCTCTGGGAATGCCTCATACACCAGTGCAAAATGCCAAGAAGACTATAGTCTACTGAGGAAGTATCTGAGGGACGCGATTTCGCATCATATTTGGGAGGGTGAGAGAGTGAGGTGAAGATGAGGAGGGAGTGATCAATGGAGCCACGGGTGAGGCTTTTGGGATTTGGAACAGGTGGTGCGCGGAGAGGGGAAAAAGAACGCAGGTATTAATAGTGGAAGAGGAAAGCGTGGATGATGCCGTTTGATACTAGTGATATTTCGGGGTTCGTAAGCTCGGTCTCGGTAGCACCTTTCGAGCCATCATGACATGGACTCATAAACTTTAAATTCCCTTGCGAGAGATGACGGATTTTGCAGAATAAAGTCAACAACATGCAAGTCTATAAATCAACGGCACAGCAAACGTCCTCATTCCAAATACATTTCCCCTTCATCCTGCCATGATATATACAACCTACTTACCTAATCCTATCATGCGCTGGCCCCAAACAACGTCCAAACCCTCCCAACTTCCTAGCATCATCGACCCACCAAAATAACCCACAATTTGACTCACTTCCTCGCCTCCAGTCCCAAAACACTCCCATTCCACAATTCTCCGATTCTGCAACATGGCCCGAGACCCCAATTCTCCACCTAAATCACGGCCACTGGCTCTTCTCAGTCACCAGCCCACCCAAGTTCTTCGAACATATGAATTTGCTGCTGGAAGGCCTTGAAGTTGGCGTTACGGAAATTTCGATCCGCAGAGAGGCTAATGCCATTCGAATACAAGAATTCGGCACCGTCTCCTGTCTCAATTCCTCCGCTTCTGAACCCCATGCCGAATTCCAGCGTCTCCAAACTCTTCATCTGCTCTCCTTGGGCCGCCATCAATCGACTTTCTTACAAGAGTTCTCGCCCGTCATGATAGACGTCAACCAGTCGCATCGCCTAGCGTTTCTCAAGTAGAGGGTGACGCAGCCCGGGGAGTCTGAAGGTGTGACGTATCCGAACCAGCTGTGTATCTGCGATGTGACTGAAGATGGTATTATGAAAGGGGAGGTGGCGATGTAAGGGCAGAAGCGGCTAAAGATGGGGCGATAGAGAGGTTGGTCAAGAGTGAGATTACTTTTGCTAATAACACGTTGAGTCAGGGTAGAGACTCTCGTAAGGAAGAGGAGAACAACGACTCCCGAACCCCGGGCTCTACGATTGCCGCTGGAAAGGAGGAGAAGGAAAAGGTAAAAGGCGAAAAGCGTCAAGCACAAAAGAAGTAGAAGAAGAGAGACCCATCAGCTCGGCGAAAGAGTCAGACTTAGAAGTAGATCAATACGAATAGAAGACTACCAAAGCCAGGAAGAAGAGCAGAGAGAAAGGGGAAGGGTGGATAGAGACCCTCCGGAGTAAGTGCAGAGCGACACTTACCTTCCGCTCTTCCATTAGAAAAGCGTGGAATCTATTTGTAAAAACCCGGACTAGAACCTGGGCCAACGTTAACAGGATATAAATTTCTGTCCTGAATCATACCTCCTACGTTTCAAGGAGCCCCAGCTTTTGTCCTCGGTGCTATAGACTCCGCTAATGTCTAGAAGCACACACACACATTAGCACTTCACACAACTGCACCCTGCATATATGCTCCAGCAACACGAATCCCATGGTTGAAAGTAATGCATATATATTCCACCGTCATTCATATACAGGACAAGAGATCCTCACACACCACGCTATACAACCTTTACCCTCTCACACCCTTCAGGCCCCCACCTCCACTTTCCCTCCTAATCCCCTCACCCTTCCCAAGACGAAATCCCACATCAGCCCTCTTCTCATCCGTTAACCGCCCCCATTCTAGCAACAGCCTGAAGAAATATATCTCCATATCCTCCTTCCTAAGCACCTTCTCCGTCCACACCTTACTCTCCCTCGCAATTTTCTCGGCCTCCTTCTCTCTCCCCTCCATAGTCCTCCAGCCTCCATCTTTCAAGCCCCATCCGCCGAAATACGCAACGCTGGACCATAAATCGTGGAGACGGAGGTCGACTGGGACGAAGTGTTTCCACGCCTTGAGACGGCCTTCGTACCATTCGCGGAAGAGTGCCGTTTTAAAGACGACGGAGTTAGATTGAAGGAAGGGTATGAAACGACCCGAGAAACCTGCGCCGTCGGCGTCGAAGAGGTACTTGTAACGCCAGTGCTGTTGGAAGTCGATATTGTTTCCGAAGCCGAATTCCTTCTCCTGCTCTAAGCAATCGGGGTCGCCACATCGTACGATTTTATTGACAAAGCGGACATCCATTTTCGTAGCCAGCATCCTCTTGATTGTCTCGGGCTCTTCCAGTGCATACTCGAGACGCTCCTTCTTCCCAGGAAGGAGAACAACTTGGGGATCTGTAGAGTTGTTGATAAGATGCACAAGTCGTTGTCTTAGCATCCCTTTCCAAGCTCCATTCCCAGCACTGAAGCCCTCAGAGGTTGCGCCACGCCAAAAGAGCGTGTTCTCTTTATTTGTGAACATGGGATCTGGGAATTGATCATTGAAAGCGTAGATAGCTTTGTCCATGTAGTTCCAGGGAGAGGGATATCGAATGTCGACATAGCCGGGAGCTCGGCTTTGGCTGAAGATGGGGACGAGGTCGTGAGTGCCAATGAGGGCAGAAGGGCTGAGATGCAAGCCATGGAGGTTTGAGAGATCAGGCTGGTGGCAGGGTTCCGAGGAAATAGACCAGTTTGAGATGAAAGCGCCCATGGAGTGTGGGGCTGCACAAGACGTGCAGAGAGTGCGCGTATCCCAGTGACGTTCTATTCGTGCGCGGGTACTTGGGGGACAGGCAGTAGACCCATGAGATTGGAAAGTAGGATTGAAGCCTGTGCCTCTAAAAGGTGATCCCACTTGGTGAACCTCGGATATATTCAGCCAGGTCTCTGCACGATCTGCGCTAAAATTCAGGGTCCCTTCTGCAGATTTATGAACCGGGAAGACAAAGCGCTCTTCATGTGCCTTTTCCAGTTTAATGTAAGGCACAGCGACTCGACATTCGTCATTTAAGTTCATTGCCAAGTCCATATCAGGGAGGAATTCCACAAATTTTTCAATCATGCGCAGGGCTCCGTCTACCATCCATCTATGTGTCCCTGGGACGTTTGCAAACACCTCAGCTTTGCCACTCCGGATGCTTATTCCGCCGAGGCCCTGGTTATCAGCAAGAATCTCGGCGGTTCGCTGGCGCAATTCGACGGGACTCAAAGACCAAAATGGCGCTAGGTCTTCTTCGATATTGTCAAAGTCATCCATAATGATGGAATTGCGACTCGAAGCAAATTCGTACCACCTGTCAAAATTAGGTGGTGGATCTTTGAGATATCGCTCCTGGTAATGCTTGACAGCTTCAGCAAGGGTCTTGCTTTGCGATGCTTGATTCGCCCATCGCTCATGCTCGGCATTCGCAGACTTGATTAATGTAGTAATCGGGTGGCCAGGTATAGGTTTTTGGCGCCAATGAGACCGATAGCCGAACCCACCGAGGGAGAAGGTGAAGACAATGAAGACAAGTAGAACCGCCTGATATCGCCCGAGCCGGAGGGAGATCTTGGGTCGCATCATGCGTCCTTCCGTGCTCGTTTCGGCAACAAGATACAGCATGAGGGCAATGGAAAGGAGAACGAGGTAAAAAGTGAGTTCTGTGGTAGGCTTTGGGGGAAAGGTATAAGAAACGCCAGTCCGAAGAGCACGCAAGACTTCGGTGTATGCAATAGAGAATCCAACGATGAGAACAGTACTCATGACGCCAAACATTCGTACCTGTCGAGATTGATCAGTGTTCAAGCCGAGCAATGGAGATAGATAGGCTTGCTTACAGTGAAAAGGAAACATAATATGGTACAGGGTATCGTAAGACTCAAGCTAATCAAACTGCGCACATATTCAGTGGGGGCTGCCAGAATCCACTGGCGCTGTTCCGGAAATGCAGTGTACACTATAATCCCGGTCAGGGCTAGCATGAGAGCCGAGGCCTTCCAAATGTTAGCCAGATTCACAGAAGAACAACGCACTGTATGGGCATGACCCACAACAAAAGTCAAGCCAACCAGTACATTGTTCCTGGTGCTGTCCTTGAACCCGGTGAGCTTGTCGTCGATCAGGGCGACGCGGTCATCGATGAGAGAGTACAGCGCCAGGACGGCGGCACAGTCAATAATGAAGCCGAGGAATTGGAGCTTCGGGATGATGGAGGCCGTGCCGTTGGCGAGCGGACAGATATATGTGGACCGCAATGCAGTGGCTCTCAATGCGGCGAGGAAGCTGCTCAGCGAGAGCAGCAGCGAGGGGAGCACATAGCGTGTTGCCCCGCAGAATATGAACTGGAAGGCGCGTTCGAGCACCCTCTTCGGTGTCAACTCAGCCTTCCAAGTTGGGCGCACCGGTGTCTGCAGGTGGAAGTCGCGACCGGCGTGGTACACAGCGAGAACAAGAGGAAGGAACGCCTGCTAGGATCAGCGTGTCGTCGCATTGTTTGGATAGACACAGTGTCTTACTAGGGCGGTCGGCCCCGCGCATTCGACGTCCTTCATGACGCGCTGGTATATGGCCACCCGCACGCAGATGGTGAATAGCAGCAACATGACCAGCGCCGCCCGTGACCTTGCGTCCAGCAGGCTCCTGGCCAGCCCGCGCTCCCCAAACGGCGAGGCCTCTCGCGACATGTGCCGGCTGTTGCCGTTGCCGTTGCCGTTGCCGTAGCCATTGCTAAGTGGGATTGCGTCGGACGTCTTGCGGTGAGCAATGCGGTTTCGCACCGTCAGTGTGCCATGGGCGACAATGGCGAGGCCCGACAGCAGCAGCACGATCCCGATGGTGTGCAGCGGGCGGTCAAAGGCGAAAGATGTGTCGAAGGTAGTGGAGAGGTAGCAAGTTCCTACGACGAGGCCGCTTGGGCCGGTTAGCCTGGTGCTGCATATAGTGAGACTTTGGCGACCGTTGGCCGCGGCCGCCGGCGGGGGGAGGCGAAAGTGAGTACGACAGGACGACGAACCATGGGAAGAGGAGCCACTTCCTATCCATGATGGCTGCATGCTTCAACTACAATCTTCAGCGCTGCGCGATGCGACGGGAGGCCAGAGGGCGACATAGCATGGGGCGTGGCTGTGCGAGAGTGAAAGGCACAGCTCAGGTGGCATTTCTCTCAGGCGTTCAGGCCGGTCAGCCCTGAAGTGTGACAGCGCCGGATCCTTGCCCTTGAAAGAGTTCAAGCAGGCCGCGCACGTGTTCGGCTCGCTCAATGCGGGGAACTGTCGTGGTGCGTCTTTCTAAGTGAACCACTCACGATACGTAATATCTCCAAGATCGCCTCTCCACCTCCCCTTTTCTGTCCGCCTGCCTCGTACTCCTGGCGGCGGCTGAGGTCCTTCCTTCCTTTCACTTGGCAAGAGTCGAGTGCTGCTCAGCCTTCTTCGGTCAGTCACCGTTTCACAGCCTGCCACTTTCGAAACTCACGATCTGATCCTCATGGCCTTCCTCTCCACATTTCAACATATCAAGCGGCCATCTGGAAATGTAGGTGCGAGGTATACACTTCATTTACGTTCAATCTTGATCCTCATCCTAATTGAGTCTACTTTCATCTCATCACAACTCGTTTTTTGTCACATGTGACCATTGATACATCCGAGGTCGATATCACAATCCCTGCATCTTCCTGAAGAACGTAACTCTCGCAGTCATACTCCTGCATCTCTTCCCGAATATCCACATCGGAATCGTCAACAAACAAATGAAAATATGCAGGCCGCCGATGATCGAGAAGACTTGCAAAGGCCCCTGGTTCGTTATCCAAGCACTGATGAAGTAGTTCATCCCAAAAGAGTAGATGTTTCGCAAGTTGAGTGATGCGAAAGCCTCTGGAGCTTTGGAGCGGTGGCACTCGGTGATGTAGCCGTAGATGCTACCAAGAATATTAGAAAAGGAGTGAGGCAGACATTTGGCACGGAGACTTACCCAATATTTAAGAACGACATGGCGAAGTAGATGACGCCGTACAGGAACACGGGACCTGGCCACGACGTCTTATTCTCCAAGCACGCACCGAATCCGAAGAATCCCGCGATGCCCAGCACCAACGTCAGCACATTCAATGCCAGCCGGAACTCAGGTTCATAGATTCCATTGTTCCGACGCGCAAGCGCCTTGACTGTCCAATCGTTCAAAGGTCCGGCCATGAACCCGAGGAATGATGCAATGAGCGGTGCGATACTGATCAATCCCACAGCCGAGACCGAAAAATTATAGGGAGGAACGGTGAACAGCTGCGCCAGCACTGAAATCATGACCACGAGCCAGGATGTAGAGAGACCGTAGGTGATGAAACCGTAAAGAACTTGTGGGAATAGCAGCATGCCGAAGGGTCGGAAAATTATACCAATCAGATTCTCATCGGACTCGACGCCTCGAACTGGAAGCAGCTCTTGCCAGAACGTGTATGGTTTCTCGTCTGCGCCAGTATACAGTGGTTCGTGACGAACTACATTCTCCGTCTTGGTTACTGCATCCTTAGGCTCTTCGCCGACGACGATTTGCGCGTCAAGGAATTCTTCGGTATGATCGGTCGTTCCAAGATCGAGGTTGTATGCTGGGTCGCGCTTGTACACAGTTTCGGGTACGAAAAAGAAGATCAAAATGATGAAAACGCCGTAGAAGCAGGCGCAGATGCCATAGGTCCAGTTCCAGCCAAGGTTCTAGAAAATATTAGCAGGGCAAAGAAGCGAAAGAGTTCAGAATATACCTGAATGATGTATCCAGATATACAAGAGCCCCCGCCAACGCCGACTGAGAGACACAGGCCCCAGAGCGCGAGGCGAAGCCCGCGTTCATGAACATAATATATGTCTCCAATAATCGCTGTCGTCAAGACTTCGAACGGGCTCATACCAATCGCTCCAAATACTCGGCTTGCAAGTAGCGATTCGTAAGTGTTTGCGTGGTAGGCCCATACACTGGAGATGAAAAGAAACAGGTTTCCCATAATCATGACGGGTCGGCGTCCGTATTTGACTGAAAGAGCATTCGTAATGAAGCAGGATATACCAATTGCAAAGATAGCCCATCCCAGACCTCTATTCAGCTCATTGTATGACATGTTGAATTGCACAGCCATCTCTGCGAAGCCGGGCGAGATCATAGGACCCCAGGCTCCAACGACTGCAGTGTCGATACTGATTATTACCAAGAGAAGCTCTTTCTTCCATTGGGGCCAGTTGAGAGGGTCACGTGGAGATTCGGATGGCTGAGGAACAAGAACAATATCTTTGTTACGACCGGTGCCGTGTTTTAGGGCAGATGTATCGCGGCCTAACTTGTATCAGTCTGGGAAGAAACACGTTTGAGCGAAGAGCAAGGCTCACCGTGATAGCGATGCCGCTGTGCATCCAGGACATCTGTCAATGGAGCAGTGCCAGGGACATGCTGGAGATGAGTATCGTCAAGGATACCGAGACCCATCCTGAAAGATATTCCTCCTAGCGAAGTCTTTCAGTTCTCAAAATTGGAAAGCCGTTGAACAGAGTGCCCGAAATCTCAAGAACGAAACCTGTCCACACGTCTGATGTCAACCCTTTAAGAAATTCCGCATCTTTAAATGCTGCACGAAGAGATTCGTCGGCATTTAGCCAAGAATGAAATGCCGCATCCAATTCATACCCTAAATCAAACCCAGTTAGCACAGAATCCCATTTCGAAGTTGATATTGCCCGCTAATTGGAGAAATTATATTGCCCCACCCCCGCCCCGTACTCCACAATCCGGGGACGACGTGCACGCTAAATTGCCCCACGGGTGAAAATACCCCAACATCAGCATGGACCGAGGGATATGCTTGCTTAAGGTGAAACCCTCGAATGGTTTGTGGCGTTACCTCGGTCTCAAGTTGAATTAGATATAAAGAACCAATTCATCTTCACTTATGAGCGATAATTGGTTAGAGAAAGCTTTTAGCAAGATAATCACGCTTCAATGTGAGGACGGATTTCAAGCTTGGACGACCCTCTCCTCACAAGCACTAAATTTGAGTAGCTTGAATGGGCGGGACAACGTCCATTTCTGGGTGAAGCGCCGTGGTGGAGCATTGTGCACCTGCTAAGATGTAGTCAACGGAGACATTGTCGACTTCACGAGCATGAGCAGTGTGGTGAGTCATGAGGATTGCCGGAAAGGTTGGGATGTACCCTCTAGGTGAACACGTTGGAGTCGAAATACTATGAACATGAAAGAGCGACATTGAGGTGTGAAGCAATGAAGAAGAGTGTTTGATGAAGCTTTGTGGAGTCGTCCAAACCTCGGGTTCGGAAACAAGGTACCACCTTGGCGCTGGGCGACCAGGGGTGACGCGTATGCACCTTCTGGAGACACAAGAAATGTTGACAAAAGGATCATAGGAGCCATGAAACAACCTTTTGGATTGGCATGGTATTTCGGATACAAGTGTGAGTAGCTGTTAACAGTAGCCTGGAATCTGGCCTGCTCACAGTTGTTAATATGAGGAGTGCCACAAAGTCAAACTGGTATGGGGGTTGGGCTATTCGCAAATCGCATTCCAGATTCCAAACTATCGGCTTACATCTTCTTCTCCGGGTCGACGTGTTCAGTCTGCATTGGACTCTCAACCTTGCCTATCTCTTCACCCATCACTCCATCTCGCACCTGAGATTCCTCATCGTTCGCCTGAGCATTCTCAACGCCAATTTTGGTTGTGGTAAATTTATCGGCCACATCGCGATAAGCTGGAACAAAATTCACGCAAAGAGCGTACGTCCAGGCGGCGACAAAGAATGCAAGCGGGACTGACATCGCTTTCGCCGTTGAGTTTTGAGCATCGGATGCAGCAAAAAGGAGTGGAGGTACAACTGCCCCTCCTGAGACTCCACCAACGATGTACCCCGATCCTTTCTTCGAATACTTCCCCAGCCCTCTCATGCCCAGCGCGACAATCGTGGGGAAAATGATCGATTCGAAGAAGAGGGTGATGTATAACATAGACATGCCTGTATTCCCGCGTTGGGTGATGCTTGGTGCAATGAAAACAATGCACAATGTCATGTAGCAGAGGAAGACGTAGCGCGGTCTGACGAATTTCATGATTGCTGATCCGGCGAATCGTCCAAGCGCGAAGGCACCCTGTGCTCCAGCAAGGAACCGGGCGCCCAAAGCGGAATCAGTGTTTTCCCGTGTCTCGGTAACGTAATTGATGAACGCTCCAGCTATGGCGACTTGAGCTCCGGTGTAGCAAAACTGGGCGAACGCGGCGTGGAAGAGTCGGTACTGTTTCCGGAAGGGCTTTACATCAGTACCAGCGTGCGTCTCCTCGGCCTGGAACGCCATGTCCGCATCCGTTATCTCAGGAATCGGTGAGAAATAGAAAACAACGGCCAGCAAAAAGACAAAGCATGCAATAGCCAGATACACCCATTGCACGTTCTTCAGGGACTGTAGGTCCTCCCCAGTGTTTTTGAAGAAGACGTAAGATCCGAGTACAGGTGCTACTACCGTTCCAACTCCATTGAAAGCCTGAGCAACATTGATACGAATCTCAGCGTACCGAGGGGGTCCGCACACGGTAAGATATGGATTTGCAGCGGTTTCCAAGGAGCCGAGCCCATTTCCGATGATGAATATGGCAGCGCAGAATCCTCCGAAACTTCTATGAAGAATGCAAGGCCAGGCAACCAAAGAGCCGATTCCATAAAGGCAAAGACCCCAGATGAAGACTGGTTTATAACCATAATGTCTTAAGATCCAGTTGGCATGACCAAGTGAAGCAAGTGGGTAGGCTCCGAAGTAAGCTGCTTGAAGGCCAGAAGAGCGGGAGCGTGTAATGTTAAGGGTTTCTTGGAAATGCTTGTTCAACGTATCCAAGAGACCGTAAGAAAATCCCTTGGGATGACAATTAGTGAGGAGGTGGTGAAAGGTGTGTTAAGCTTACCCAGAGGAAGAAGAGAATCGTGACAAGACAAAGCGGGTAGATGGACTCCCGCAAAGTTAGCTCAGCGGCTCGCGTCCTCTTGTTGTCACTGATTTTCAGCGAGTTCTTCTTAAAAATCTTCATGTTCGGTGCTCAATGCCTCTGGCAAACAGTTCTTATGGACCAACTGATGAATTCTGTTCTTGATATAATCTCAGGAGATAAGACGAGAAAAGTGAGGGGGAAAAGGTCTTTCATATGGGACCATGATGACCGATAGTAGCACCCGATGTTACTCCGCTATTCCAAGTCAGGAAGCTGGGGACAAAACTGGGGTAGAAATCTGGAGATCGACCCCTGTCCAATCCTGGGCAAACGGCTAATAGAGCGTTTCCGTAGCCAGATGTTGCAGGTTAGATGTTGGATACTTTTGCACAATTAGCAAACTAGGCCGTGCTAGCGTAGGTTTAACTTAAATTCCTAGCTTTATGTAGCTAGGCCGACTAAGACTTCCCACCTGGTTAACTGTTTTTATTTTATGCTAAGATCTATCTATACAAACACGGTACTCTTCTTCTATGCTTAGATTCTAGGATATTACGGAGTATAGAGATTTACAATAGATACACATATGTTCTCTACTTGCGTATTTTAGTTTCAGTTTAGCTGAGCTATCAGGGTTTTCACATAGGTTTAGATCTAGTAGTCTCTGGTGTTTCGGCAGCTTAATTAAACTGACGACGCTCAAGCCGCGTGGACGAGGCGCGAATTGACGTAAGAAAACCGGGTACCCCAAGCAATTAGCCTCCAATGCCTTGCCGCAGAAACCCCCTAGTAACGAAGTCGGCGGCGTGATGTGCGGAGAATTGCCACGGGCTTCGGGGGATCACTTCCCGAGGGCATCATGTGCAGCATTAGTGGGAACCTTCCAACGCCATAAATCTCCTTGGAGAATAATCTCAGAAATCTTGGGATGTAGGTGCATTCTTTAATGTGATACTAGTTGCGTGCCCACAGTTTAAATTACCGAGGCCCTACTCCAAACTTCAACAACTCTTTCAGCAAATTATCGTTGACACTCACCGTCAATTCAACGATGTGGGTCTCTTCTAAATCTTATATCACTTGTGTCCTTACGCATCAAAAGAGGAGGGAATTACTTATATTCGCCTAATTCTCTTTGTAAAAGAATGAAGCCCATGGAGGACAGTTATGGCGTCACGCTCTCCGCGGCGAGGACTGCGGCTTCCGCAGGAGAGAATTGGAATTGGACCATGGCCCTGAAACATTCGTAACGGGCATCAATAGCGGGGTGCCACTTCAAGAAGGGCTCAACGACATGCCGGGGTACTGCACAATATCTCATGCCGCTGGAGGACCGGTCGTTGCCTTTGCGGATGGCAACTTACACTATTCACAGCAGGCTAGGGTGGACATTTACAACTTGTCCTTCGCCGGTCCTAGCACCTCAAAGACAAAACCCCCTTTTCGCACAGCCTGTCCCACATAGCCAACTCCTTTCCGGTTTCACAATCAACACAGAGTTCAAGACGGAAGATAATCGCCACATTGTGCCACACCTCTTCGGGTGGAGAGATAACCTAGACATGCATCTTCGCAATATGAGAAACGCTTTGGGGTGCACATCAGTTCTTCACGCACCACCACGCTTTGCTCTGCTTCCGTCTGGAATGGCTTCGTTTTTACGTGAAATATCTTCCTGGGATCATCCCGATTGTGCTCGCTTTCATCTGGATGCCTAATTACAAGAATAGCGATTCTCCACTACACTAAGGGTCCATTTTATTCCTCTGCTTATTTTCAGAGCATTGCGAAGGTCTGCAAGTAGGTAATTCTCCACCAACCTGGAATCTTCCGGGGCACTGGCCGCAATGCGGATTTATTGTTAAGCGTTTTGATGTCTACAGACAAAGAAACCACATTCGAATCGACAATGGTTTCTGAAGTGTGGTGTTCCAAAGCTCATTCGCTGCCACTGCTCAGCCTCCGCCCAGCTGAGTGGCAGCCTTCAGCTGCCAAGGATGTGGCATGCTTTGCCGCCTTTCGTTGGACGGGTTGCAAAACAACATCCCATTCGCGGTACCGAGCAGTATCCAAAAATAAGATGTCAGAAGATCTGGAGCCTGGTTCCGTATCTTCTCGAGCATTTCAAACCGTATGATACACCACAAATTCTCAATAAATTGCGCTGTGTTCAGGCCTGGCATCGCACCAGTGTGACTGCCTTGCCCTTCGACACAATTCCTACTGGTGTATATAAAGCCGTGCAATATCATCAATGGCGAGCAGTCCTTCACCCAAACGCATCAAAATGGATCAAGGAGAACAGCAAGACTCTCCAAGAAGCGCAACTCCAGACGAAATTGATTCCATTGAGGAAGATGGAGACACTGGAGACACCCCGCTTCATACGGCTGTGTACGACCTTGACATTGCCAAGATAACCTCTCTGCTCTCAACGCATCCCCATTATGTCAATCATGCCCGAAGACTTGATTTTGATACTCCAATATTCCAAGTTATTTACCAAAGTTGGGAAGAAGATGAGGAGCGCACGAACAATATCTTAGCTGTACTGAAGCTTCTACTCGATGCTGGAGCTGATCCAAACGCAAAGGATGTCGTGGGGAAAACCGTACTCCACCATTGTGCGAAGAACAATTACTTACGCGCGGCAACGTTCCTACTCGAACATGGTGCCGATGTCAATATCGATAGCCGGACTCCAGCGGATCGTACTAGTAGCGGATGTGGATGCGGTAACGCAAGTGGACTTAAGTCTCTCCTTGGGTTTCTGACTGGTCGCCAAGATAACGACAACGAGCAATTCCAAGCAGGCATGACACCCCTACACTACGCCGCCGATCATGGGAATCTCGAGCTGATAAAGCTCCTGATCAGCAAAGGTGCGAAAGTTGACGCTTTCGATAGAGATTCTGGAACACCTCTGCATAGGGCAAGCCAGTCAGGCCTGGACACTGTAAAGCTCTTGCTGCAGCAGGAGGGCACTGAATCCTGTTTGAAAGTGGCCGACAGATACGGCTACTTGCCGCTCCACAATGCTGTAGCTTATGGCAAGGACGTCAATGTGGTCAAGTTACTTCTCGAGAAAGCCCCGGATGTCATCGACTTCAAAGTCGATGGGTTCAGAACGTGGGAGACTGGATTGACACCACTCGCCCTAGCTTGCGATGCCGAACAAGGGCCAGAACGCGAGGCCATAATTCTTGAGCTACTCGAACGAGGCGCAGATCCGAGCGCCCAGGCAGAGAATAAGAAAACACCGTTCTTACTTGCTGTTATCAAGGGCAGTGCTCAGGTCGTCAAGAAGATGGTGGAGAAGGGTGTGGATGTCAATGCACCTCAGATGGCAGAGGCACCGCCAATCCATGCCGCAGCTATCAACGGGAAAACAGATACAATAGAGTATTTGGTTACGGAGGCAGGGATTGATGTCAACTTTGAAACCGAGGACGGCTACACGCCTCTTCATAACGCAGCCGCCTATTCCAAGAATCGGGAAACTGTTCTCAGGCTCATTGAACTCGGGGCCAATTTGGAAGCTCGGATTCCCGACGGAAGAACGCCTATGCACATGGCTTGCTTCAAAGGAGATTTGGGATGCGTCCAGGAGTTGCGAGAGCATCTGGTCTGCCTGAATGCTGAAGACTCAAACGGTTGGCGTCCTATTCATTTCGCTGCACACTATGGGCACGAGGAAATTGTGAAGTACCTCATGAATCCGACGCCGACCACGAAGGCAGCGGAGCTCGGTATCACCACTGGCGGGCCTGGGTGGGGCCAAGAGAACTGCACAGCGGCGGATCTGGCGAAGAAACAAGGACACGAGAAAGTTGTTGAAATATTGCTTGAGGCGGGCGATAAACTCACGGAATGGAATGTTGAAGAAGATGAAGAAGATGAAGGAGATGAAGAAGAAGAAGATGATGAAGTAGGGGATGAAGAAGAGAAGGAGGGAGGTGAAGTTGAGAATGTAGTCAAGGTGGCTCCGGACGCTTAGACGCCAAGGAAAAAGCAGGAAACTTGATTATTAGGTTCTTCTGCTGAGTTTATGCATGCACCCTTTGGGTTTTTGTAGCTTCCATTTCTCTTGACAGTCATGTTTGCTTTTTTTCCTGATCCATAGTCAGATGCTTTACGCTAGATGCAATTTCATCGCTAAAAACCCTACCAATTATTCCTCTTTAAACTCTTTCCTTTACTGTGCCTGGTCCTCCTCCAACTTGCTCAAATTAACTGCGCTCTTAACCCTAAAACTCCATAAAACTCCAATTCTCAATACTGCTTCCCCCGACCAAAAACCCAAACAAGGCGCAGCTAAATCCCGTGTGGCCACAACAAGCGCAAGCACAGCCATATTCCCCACACCCTTCTCCTGACAACATTAGTCCTAAATTACTCACCCAAGCACTTCCGAGATCAAATCCAAGGCTAGCTATGAACGAAGTAATCTATATCCCGAGATGCTCGTACATTGCTTTGGGGAAAATTTTGATCATCTTCGTTGGAGTGTCTTGTGCCTTTTGGAAGCTAAGCACGGGGGTCGATAGGACGTCGTATGAAGCTTAGAGCGCATTGCTAGCTGCATGTGAAGAAGGTGGCTAGGAAATTGAGGACAAGAGATAGAGCTAATAATCCTCGGGAGTAAGCCATCGTCAGAGCCTTGATTGATAAAGGTCTCAATCGGCCGAGCTCTTCAACATTGGACATGAGCCATGTCCGCCATTGATATCGCCGACCAAATCTTGCACGAGCATGGAGTAATTGTGTGACCATTGTTTATTAGAAACATGAGTGTCGAAGACATATTGGGAGGGAGGAAGGATGCAAGTCCCGATTCGAACTGGTGTGCCCAGGAAACTGAAGATTTGGTGAGCTTCACGGCCCATACATGGAAGAGTTGAAGAGATATTTGCTGGATGAAGCAAGTGCTGTTAGGTGCACAACCTCCATATCTTTCGCGCCTTGCATGAAAGTTGATTAATAAGTACACGAGGAAGGATACTTACTAGGTCTCTTCACCACTTAACTAAACGATGAGCACGCTTTTTGGTCGTTTGAACCGCAAGTGGCCTAGCGCGACGCTAGAGGAGGTGCCTTGGGTGCAGAAACCCGAATTTGAAGAGGATATCTCGATGAGGCTGCAGCATTTGCTAATGTTGCGTTTTGCTTCACTTAAAGTGTTGAGAAACTCAATATGTCCTCTAAGCTCGTCTTGAGATCCGAGTCCAGGGCAAGAGAAGGACTAGGCTTGCTTTGATGAGAGTGGTTTCGAGCGTTGAGCTTCCACTAGACCATCACTCAAAAAATAGTGTCGCAGGGGGGGACTTCGTTGCAGTCGTCCTTCGATCCAGAGCCCACAGCCATGAGAAATTTTAGGTAGTTGTTTTGGAAGAGTCTATCGACCACAAGAAAACAGCCCGGCTTTGTGACCCGAGATATCCAACACCTCAGAGACCCTCAATAAACATCCCCCAAAAAGCATCACCAAATGACTCCCTTCACCCCCCAAATCCCACCACCGCCTACCCTACTCCCCCGACGTCACCGCCTCAACCTCCGGCGCAGTCACGGCGCCATCTGCCCCGATTAGATTGATCTACATATCCGGCTTTGCCCTAAGCCGCTTCGCCTTCCTTGGGCCCAAGTCCCAACCCCAAACCACCTCATTCTAACCCCTTATTCCAGCTTTATTCGCAATCCCCGAAACATCTTGTTCTCTTGTACCTCACTGCACTTCTTGGAGTTCCGAGTTTCGAAACTTGCGATACATTAGCCAAGATACGCTTGCGAGGGATAGTGGATGCTGATTGGTTTAGAGGACGGTGCGGGGATTTCTTGAGGTGGACTTAGGATGAGGCTAAGGTATCTTGGTGAGATTTGTATTGCTTGGGAGTGAGTAGTACCTAGAGTATATAAAGATGAATGCATACTTCGATTTGACAGCCGTAACTTCGATACATCGCCCAGCCGCCATTGCAATCGCTCATGTTCATCTACCTGGCTCTTGTCTCCCTCCATAAAGTACAAATTCTTGCGAATTTGCAACTATGCGCTTCGCCTCTACTATCACACCTGTTCTTACCCTCCTCTTCACACAATTATCGCAAGCCGCGACCCTAGGTCTTGAAACTCAGTAAGTAGATTGCTCATCGCATGGTGAATACGAACCCTACACTGGTCTTGCGAAGCCACTAGTACTTGTCTCTTCTTTACCATATAATATCCATAATACTGATCAGGACAAAGATTGTGGGGCAAGCGGCAAAGATTGCAGAGCAACGGGATTCTCGGGTTGTGTTGGATATCCGAGTAGGTATTTCCACTTGAAGAGAAGGGTTGAGTAGATGATATGTGCAAGATTGCTGATATTAAGCCATAGATCTTCGGTGTCCGTATAAGGGATGTGCATGCACGAACTATTAGAGAATCGGCTCGAGGATGCTAAGAAGGTGTGGGTTTAGTGAGTGCCATTGCGACGCTAATGGACAGAACGTTTTTGCAAAAGATCGTCAATTCTTGTTGCAGATTCTGATACGTTTGGGCTGACGAGGAAGTCAAAGTTAATAAACGATGTCGGCGATCTCTACCATATTCATAAGACACGACCTCACAAGCCTGCATCATACTACTCCACACTTAGTCCTTCCATTATCCATTCTCATGAAATCTAATGTCTTGTATATAGTACATTTCTATTGACGCGCCTTCAAGCACGGGGTATCAAAGCACACCAAACACCCGACAGTAAAATACAAACAATAAAATACGAGATCGAGCCTGAAACCTTTGACCTAATCAACTTTGCGATGTGAAGAGGTGTAGTTGGTCCTGACGTATTGGTGTGGGATGAGGTTGCTGAATCATAAAGTCGGGCTCCATCTCGTTTCCATGTGGAGAGGGTTGACGATGGGGAGACGAACGTCTCGAGCTTAGATTACTCCTGACTCTGCGCAAAGGCCCCGCGATCCGCTGGCCTAGGGACGGCCGATCGTAGTATGGAGATTCCTCGAAGGCTGGAGCGCTATCGAAGTAATTGAAAAAGCCAAGCGGGTTGGTCGTAGGTCTCCCTGGATCAGCAAATCCAGGGTCGTGGTGGGAGTTTTCCGAGGCATTGGCCATGTGTGACTCCAGATCTGAAGGTAAAGGCGGTATCTCGGGCTGAGTTAAGTCCAGGAAATCGGCAGGGTCGAGGTCCATGTAGCTGATACGTCGTCCTGAAGTATCCGTCATGGCTGGCTCTGAAAATGACGACGCGCTGGAACCAACGTGGGAGGAGCTGGGTAGAGGCGGTTGCGACATGTTCGCGTGGCTCGCCTGAAGTAAAGCCGCATTTACCGCGGCAAGACGGGTCCGGGATAGAGAGGTGTTGGGTCTCCCGATGAGAATCTGCATGCACTGCTCTCGAGTTAGGCGATTGAAATTGGGGACCGAGTCCCTACTCGGCGTGACAAATCCAGGCGGCAGTGTTATGTGTGACGCCTCAATGGGTATATCCGAACGCAAGCTTAAGGCAGTGATTAGTACATCTTCCCTACTCGGCCGGAGATCGCAACATTCAAGCTTCTGTCTTAAAATCCTCGTGTTGTCCACACACCAACTGATCTGCGATCGAGTTTCCCTTAGCCGCTCATCCAACATAAGGCATAGGTCCTTCCAGGTATCATGCGTCGCCTCTTGTCGTATGAGGTTGCGAATCACATTAGTATACTTCCATTGCTCGAATGTCCATCCGTTCTTCATGTGTTTCGCCACATGGTCGCATCGCTCGTCCCATCCGATACTGACTTCTTTGCATCTGTCGAAGCCGCAGCTAAATACCTTCCGAGGGAGCAGCTGGATTTTGATATCAGTTAGGGACGGTAGTGGTCGGCCCGAGTGATACCGCTGATGATGCTTCACAAAATCTTTCTGGCGGTCGAAGATCCGACCACAGCCATTTACAATGCAAGGCCAATCCTCGCCAGTCTCATGCATCCTCATTTCATGTTTCTTCCAGTCCGATTTGGCCTTGAAAGTTTTTAGGATCTGCAGATCGGCGCAATACGTACAGAACATGAATGAATCACCCGAGTGGCCGTGGTTCCTCTCACTTGGGAATGGCGAAGAGATGCTGCTCACATCTTCATCCGTTGGGGTGATAGCTATTTCTAAGCTCGATTCCATCGGGCTGCTCTCATCGGACAATGGCGTGAGGACAGCGGGGACAGGTCGTGTGGGATCAAGGCCGGATGGATATGACCTCGGTTCGGGCCGCCTCCCGCGAGACCGAGATGAAGAAGAAGAAGCGATTGATGGCGCAAGCTCACTGCTTGCCGTTGACAAGGTGGACACAAATGAGAGCCTAGAACGCATAGATGCATTGGAAGAGGCAAGAGAGCTGAAGGAGGTGAGAGAGCTGAGAGATGATGCAGTCGAATTGCGGCCTAAAAAAATGAGTTTCGTGTGCAGAACTACATGTTAAGCACACTTACGCGAATCCATAACTTGCTGAAACATTCGCTGAATGACCTGTGGAGGGTGCCTACTCAACAAGGCTTCAACATGTTGCAGAGAATCCTCTGGAATATCCACGTTGTCGTCCATCCCGGTGACTGGTTGAGAACACGGCCAAGTGGTTCCTGGGCCTATATGTATAATTGGGTGATAATGATGATTGACATGCTTTGCCTCCAGTTCGGCGAAACGTATTGGAGGAGAGCCGCACGTGTTGGGGGCGCAGTCGCTTAGATAGCCGCAAGTAAAAATGGCGTGACTGGTGATGGTCGACAGAAAGGCCGAAGTATAACTCTTGCGAAGCGCAAATGCTTGGATCGGAGTGTGAGCGGACAACTTTGGAGTAAGGGCTACAGAGTGTTGTTGGTGTGACCGATATTATATCACATCGGAGTGCAGGCGGGGAGCGCGGAAGGGAAATGTTCTGGAAAGGCCGTAGAAGAAGCTAAATCTCTGGAGTGTTCATCCGGGTGCTCGAGCGCGGCGACAACTGGACCGGCTGCACGGTTTGAACCCAAAGCTGGGGCAAGGCTGAGGGTTCACCTGTACGCCAAGTCAGAGCGCGTTTGATGTACGCAGGGACTCCAGGAGCCTTGGAAAGGCAGCTGTGATTGATTCTGAGAATACAACGCAGCCTTCTGTCAGAGAACGTGCGATGTCGAACCGGTGTGGTTTGATGATTTTGTGGAAGGGGGAGAGTGAGGGACTCGGGAAGAGAGCTGACAGCCGGCGAAACAAAGCGCCGCTGCTGTCAATAAGGCTGGAGGTCAAGAGCTTATCGCAATTCGCAAGTGTGCATTGCAATAGGCGCTAGACTGCTGTAAGGGGTCAAGCCGTCGGTACCTGAGTGACGCATGCTCGAGGGAAGGAATTCTTCTCGAAGACTGCTAGTGACATGCAGGCGGGGACGCAAGCGTAAAAGCAAAGATGCCGTGATGCGTCACCTTAGTTTCGAGGCAATCGACGGTCGCTAGCGAGCTGATCAGCTGTCCATGAATGCACGGTCGGCGAAGATATCCGAGAACACTGGGTAGGCTCGAATTATAGCCCGTCCCGCCCACAGAAGGACGTGAACTGAGGCAGTGTAGTGGACGGGGGGGGGTCAATGTTCACCGATTTCGAGGAGCTTTCAGAGGAGGGGGAGAGGGGGGGGTGGGCTCCTGGTGCTCTAACCGCCGTGGCAATGGCTGCTGACGGGCGAAGCTCGCCTGCATGGGGCGGAGAAATGCCCCTGCGAAGACAATCGGCGTCTCACGCACTCGATCTCTGACCTCACAAATGGGTAAAGAGTGTGAACGGGTCGTCTGTGGGCAGGTCAGAGCTGCAAGAGAAAATAGGGGACAACAGCTTTGAGCCAGTTTGAGGCATGGTGCAGGGAGTTGCGAGGAGACGATTTGGGGGACAAAGGACTTGTGTCGTGAGTGGATGCATTGCCCGGAACAGGCAGCAGTCGCAGGCATGTTAATTGTGGCCCGTAACTTGAGAACGTGTTGGGAAGGAGAGTATTGTGTGCGTCGGGAATAGGGTGATGGAAATACCCTGAAATCTCTTGTGGGAGCATCTGCGGCAGCTTGGCGAGGACGTGAGCTGAGGCACATGGAGGTGCCGGGGCTTGCAGAGAAGCTCGTATCTGCTGCGAAGAGCTTCTCAATCGGCTTTGGTGCTGCAACATGAGCAGGATGAGTGATCAATGGATGACGTGACGGTGCTGGAGTTGTGGAGGGGGAATGTACTGTACGGCACCGACAAACTTGTGACGAAACACAACCAGGGTCAGAGTTAGGAGAGAATGAAGAACGTCTTGAAAGCCTCCCACATTCTAGCGGGAGGGTTGACGGATCGAATCCATCATAGTCATGCGCTGTGGTGTCCGCAAGGATGCTCGAACAAAGCAGACGGTTAATTACCACGTGGCTCCGCGATCGGGTCGCGCACTAGGCTAGCGTACACTGGCTGCAGGAGAATTCGATCTCGCGTCACTCGTCACTTCTTGACCTCAACCCTATTCCCCTCGCCCCGCATCTCGCTTCCGACTATTAGCCCCTCAATGTCGCGGTCGTGGGGAATCTCTAGTCAGCCGTCGGAGAAGGGAAAAGCAAAGGGAGCCGGGAAGGCGTCCACGCCGTTTCTCGACCTCACCCTCTCCCCTTCTCCTGAGCCCCTACCAGGGCGGCTAACACAACTCCCAATAGCCCGCGCAAAGAGAGAGACTCCGTCGACCATAAAAGTAGATGGCATATTCCAACGCCCAATCCAAGCCTCCGCTCCTCGGACTGGCCAGCATACGCGACTCAATCCCGACAAACGCATCAATCCCGATCGCCTTGCGACAATCATCGATGCCGCTGACCCAAAGGCCTTCAGGGATGTGGTTCTCTATCTATGCAAACTCTCGCCGGCGCTTTCGGGAGCAATAGCCCGTGGACTCGCACAGTACCCGACCTCTGCTCAGCCCACGATCGCGAATCACCGGCACCGACCAGCTAATCCGTCAAATGCAATGCCATCCCTAGACAGTTCATATCTATCGGGCGACGATTCCAGCCTGCCTGGAAGTCCGCAGGCCGACGTCTACGCCGAACCAGAGTACGCAAGCCCTGCGCTGTCCGATGCCAGTTCCTCGTCAGCATTCTCGACTCGTTCCTCGCGCGATTCTTCGACCCGACCGCCCCTCCAAAGCCTTAAGCCGCCTTCACGTTCGCTTCCGCACTCGAGCCACAATGCCGATCTCCGCAAATCGGCCTCTCATCCCCTGTTTAAACCCGCCGCCGCAAGGCCTTCGCACACTCAGCAGCCGACTCGGAAAGTGTGCAGACAATGCAACAATCATTTCAATGAGGGTGTTGAGGACATCTGTAACTACCACCCCGGCCAGAAACAAGATGCAGGGGATATGTTTGGGCGCCCTATGTCAGTGTGGACATGCTGCAAGAGGCAGTATTGGGAGCCCGGCTGTGCAGAAAGCTCTCACGTTGCCCACGTTGCTCCCGTCAAGTTTGGGGCACCATCGAATCCTTCCTTCCTCAAGCGCCAAAACCCGAGTGGATCGTCCTTCTCCTCCGGTACCTCGAAAACCCCAAGGCTTCTCTAGACAAGGCGATGTTCCACCTTGCGGAACCGCCAATACGAAACTTGCTGGATCCAGGACGTTTTCTTGGCGGCATTCTGCTCTCGAAACCGATGCAAGGGCATAGTGGGTTTTCTCTTGATATATTGGCTATTTTGGGGAGGTTTTCTGTTTCTAAGGGTTGGTTATGATATCATCGCGCTCGGAGCAATTGGATGATCTCAAATTTAGTGCCGCGCATTTTTAGGCTAGACTGCCCAGGCGTATCTAGATACCATCTACAACTATTCCTAGCGTTACATCGTCGTTTTCACACTATTAAATCATTACTATATCTCAAGATTTCTGTCAAGATTTCCAGCACCTTGACAGGCGAAGCTGGCACCAAGGACCCAGGCCATAGTCCACCTCTGTGAGTAAGCAGTAAGAAATTAGGTTCTCCGCCTTCACTTCATGGACTCGTCCCTTAAAGCAACCAAACCCCCCTTCATTCTTTACTCTTCGTAACATTAAGCGTCTATAGCGCGATTTAAGAAGGAATGTTGAACTACGGCCACGCGCTTCACCACGTGGTCTCCCCTCCTTCCCAACCACTTCACCACTTCCTATAGAAATGCCCCACGCCCTCATTCTCACCCTCGCTTAAATTCAACTACAACAACCTAACTCCAACCACCTCTACGCTACAGCGCCTCAATCAACCAACATGAAACTGCTCAGTGTCCTTGCTTTCACCATGGGCGTGTTGACGGCAGTCCTCGGTGGCCCCTCGCCATCCCCTCAAATCATGCCCCCGCCACCACTCATCATCCCTAGCCAATACTATCTGCGAGCCAACGCGTAAGCCTCCACCTACCTCCTAAACTATCTCACTAACTTTCCCAGCCCGAACACCCCATTCCACAATCGCCCAGTTGTCCGGTTCCCACAATCCCACATGCTCGGCCTCGAGAATTTCACTGTCCATCCCGCCACTACTCCTGTCTATTTCCTCCCGATCCCAATCCCTGGCAAAGAGACATTTGCGATGCAAGTTCCGTATTCCGGTGACGATATGTCAGAGACGCCGTATGTCACCGCTATCGTAAGTAAGGGATCGCATACAGCTAGCATGAAGATCCTCAGTATGCCGGATCCGACTGCGACATCTACCAAGGATGGCTGTCCCGGGGTAGAGGTAACGTGCGTGGCGGATCAATGGAGTGTTAGTGGGGGACATCCAGGAGTGGCGATGAAGGGGTTGAAGTATGAGGGTTGGAAGGGAGGCTGGAGTGTGGTGAAAGACGCTGGGACTGAGGGATGGCATATATATTGGGTGGCTAAAGGAGAGGCGGCGAAGGCGAAGAGGCAATTTGGGATGGCGAGTGTGCATGACGTTGATGTTGATGTCGTGCCAGTGGAGGCGGAGGGCGAGAATTGATGGAAGCGCCTGCATTTTGATGACAAATATCTTCACTTCACCATGCTCGAAGATGATGCGTTCAAGAGGTGGATGACTTATCTTCACAGTGCCTGGAGTCTCGGAACTCAGCATCCACTGGGATGGCCCGCCTAAATCAGGAAGGATAAAGGAACGTACCTACCCCTAATAACCCTCATGATATCATCTGAATTCCTTCAGCCCCTTTATCCTCCTCTCCGGCATATATACCCTTCCCCGACTTAACCCCCCCCCCATAAACCCTACCTCGCATCCGCCAAATCTACCACCAAATCCGCCAACATAGCGTCACACCTCTCCGCCGCAATAATCCCAATGGTAAGCGGTAACTTGGGCCAGAACTCATCAGGGAGAATCATTAGTTTGCGGTACGATGAGGACCGTTTCAAGTGAGCTAGTTGGTGTATGCAATCTGCAGCAATTTTGCAGAACATGTTGGCAAACGGGGATCGAATATTTGGGTGATGGGGAGTATGCCGCCGAGAGGTAAAGATGCATTGGCTATTCGCATACCAAAAAACTGTTTACCTGTGAGTGAAGGCGAACAGAGACCCCGGTATTGGACCTAGTCCCAAAGTCTAGAAATTCTTACGATGCAACACCTGCGCTAGTTTCACCCGAAGGCTCTTGGGGATGCTGGTAGTTGTCTCCACGCGGATCGAATGGAGCAATTTTAGTCCACGAAAACGGCTGTTAACGGCTAGCGGAGCGCAAATTGAGTTGTCTTAGCCTTGCCAATGACAACTGTACCCATGTTAATCAATAGTTGTAGTGCCGGTACGCTTTCTTCGACCGGGACAGGTCTTTTCTCGATACGCCCGGTTTCTGCCGCTCGTTCCAGTTAATATCATAGAGGTCATTCACTACCAGCCTTTCCCCAGACAGTGGCTTTTCCTCACTTAGAGGTGGGTAGTATAGTCTTGAGGGTACGGACAAACTTTACGTTGAACATGCACTGGTCAATGCCAAACCTGTGACTGAGAGGTATGTGCTATTCATGTCTTTGATGACAGATTCAACGAATGTAAAATTAAAACCCCAATAGAGTTTGTAGACTCCCGCGATGTCGTCTAAAAGATGGGGAAGATATTATCAAAGGCATTAAAGATGTGCTTGGTGTCTTGTTAACCTTTTCATAGTCAATAGAGGGGAGGTAGGTTTCGGTATCTGGTGAGAGCGATAGCGATCCCTAAGGACTACGATACCAGTGAAGGATTCCGAGAACACATCATCCGGGGAGAGACTACTGGCACCTCTAAGATACCGGGGTGATTTCAGGCTCGGAAAATGAGAGACAAGTAGATTGAGTAGGCCCGTCATTGAACTATGATTGGTTGGTGATGCCTATAGATGTTGCGACAAGTTCCGAGGAGTAATAAGACGTGCTGTTAAGTTGCAAAGTAGCTATGGCTTGAGTAGCAAGTACTAGTTAACAGAAGCCTCATCTTGATAGATTAATCCAAACATGAAGTAGGAAGTAAATCAATGGTCGAACTTGAAATTTAATCTCGAGCTGTTTGTATGCAGGGTATTGGTGGGTCATGACGCTGCTTTTGCGTAGATAACTGGGTGATAGGTAGGTCCGCCGGTTGATGGCAGAACGAAAATATAGGAGCGTGATAGGCTGAGGAAATGCAGCATTGGCATGGAAGAGATAACGGAGTGTAGCGACTTGGTAGTGATAAGATGCACTAGCAATTGAGGTGAGGAGAGATAGATAAAAAGATGAAAGAATCCACTTAATTCAATTGATGTGAATTAGATGAAACACCTCATAGATGCAGGCAGTGTCACCCCAAACCGTTGAGGATGGATGCAGGCCTTCGCCAGGGGTTGAACGGTGTGTTCGGCAGCGTTCCGGTATCGGGATTTTTTGCTGTCGAACCATGGCGGTGAAGAGATCTCTGGGAGAATGTGGGATGTCAGTCACCCAGTTGAACTGCAAGCCCAATGATACATGATACTCTCTGTGGTTTGATCGGACCTTTTCCTGATTAAGCGTGGGCCGAGGTCGGATCCTAATTAGAAGTTTGAACCATCAACCTCAATCATCAGACTTACTCCTCACTCTCATTTCCCTTTCTCACGATATTCCTCTGTCAACGGCAATCGAGCTCTGTCCGCCTCACTTTACAGTCAGTCGTCAGTGCCTGCAGGTGGTGGCTGGCTGGCACGCTGATTGCTGCGTGCTGCATGTTTCCCGCGTGACTCCTCCACGAAGGATGCCCTGCAGCTCGTATGCACGACAGCGGAATCCTGAGCGAAGAAAAGGGGCTTACCCCAGAAACGCGGTCATTCCTGATTCCTGACAACAAAGCACTCCCAGAAGCTTTGACTGCGATGTGGAAATGAAGAGTATGGAAATCGCAAGATACAGAGAATTATCTTGGCGGGAAACTGAGCCCAAAATTTGAACTGAAAGAGCAGGCTTAGAAATGGTTTCGTATTCGTCATGCTTCCTGTCCCAAAGAAGGCAAATGTCAGATCGTGCGCGTTCCCTCCTGCAGGCCGACAGTGATGTCCCCAACAGCCCAGCAGCCCGCTGCATCCGTGTTCCACCACTGAATGCCGACATAATCGAAGCCTGTCAACAAAGCTTCCTTCGTTCCACGCCCACTCCACCTTTGGTTGAGCGAACATACCGTCATTCCTTTCCAGGTCTCTTGAATGGAGAGCCAGCTTCCCTCTTAACCAATCTTTTCTTGCGGAAACATCCATCACTATGTCTGAGCTACTTGCGTGCTGCAGTCTTGACTCGACATGAGCAGGTGCCTCAGTGAAGGACCACGCCTTATCGGTCAACCTTCACCGCCAGTTTGGCATGCCGTCCACGTGCAGTTCGATGCCCTTAGGTTTGCGCCCCTTAACACTTCCGTGTTGATCAAACCTTCGTCTCTCTCAAGTTTCTCGCCGTCTCCAACCGATATTTCATTGGATAGATCGAGTTTGAGCCTCAATGCCAAGGCAACCGGTGAAGGCTGAAACCCAAACCGACCATCTTTTTCACTCCTGGGAAATTACTCGCGCGGCTTGCGCCTCTCCAGGCACTTTAGCTACAAGGTGCTTACAGTGCAGTAGTTGTTCTTGATAGCAGTTAGCGTACCTGCATAAACCCCTGCGTGGAGAGGTCCTCCTGATAGAGCAACGTCATAATGTGGATCGCCAAATTATGCTGTTCGATGCAACGACCGTTTTCAGATGACCACTCGAAGTCCCATCTTCCCCTCCACGGCGAGAAAGTGGCACGATTTTCAGACATGACATGCAGTTCGGTCAAGGATGAATGCACGGGAAGCCCCGGCCGCTGGCGTCGTGGGTAATATTTTCTTTTCTCAGATCATATCCCGTCGGCTCCAGGGACGCCCATTTCTGACGCCCTGTCGGTGCACCCTCTTCGAACCTCTATACTCGTTTGCCTCGCCGGATATCTACGTCCACGCTTCGTCCTTGGAGCCTCCAGGTGCGGATTGTCGTCAGTTGCTGACACTGATAAGACACGGGACCCCACGAGAGCAGCAGCCCTCTTGTCCCATCCAGCTTCCCATCACAGAAAATTGCACCGTTGTGGTTTGCGTTTGCCAGCCGTCCCTTCCAAAACACTGTCACTTCCGCTTTCCTAGTCGCTCCTTTGCAAAAGAACTCGTTTGTGGCGTTCCACCGCATCCTTGGAAGGAAGCTACTCCGCGAATTGCCTTGACATTGTTCGACTAGCCTTTCGAATTCGTTCTAAACCCTTCCCAAGACGGAGCAGACGCTGGACGTCTTCTTTTGGCGGTGGCTGATATTGGTTTGATCTTCTGCTCCACAACGCCACTACTTCGATCCCAGAAGAAATCATGCAGGCTCCACATCCCCACGATTTTTTCCCCGAAAAATCGGACAGTGAATTGCAAGATCTTAATGAGAGAGTTCTCGCATCTATGGCATATCGTCGTTCTCTCTTCGGGTCACAACATTCTACCACAATCCTGGAAGAAAACCCTGGTACGTATTCGTGGCTCACATCGATATTTCCTGTGCTAATGAACTTTGTTAGATGAGCGCTATAACAATCCACCAAAGCCAAGTTCAACTTCATCGATCTCAACTCACCAACGATCTGGGCGATCTAGTGCTCAATCGGATGCCGAACTTTTTAGTGATGCTACTTCTGTTGATTCGAATGAGTGGCGCTCCGCCGGAACCCCACACGGCTTTGAGACTGGTCTTAATCTCGATCACCCGATGAATACTTGGCCGGATGTTCCTCCACCAGATAATGGTATCGCTTACAACCCACTGCATTCGCAGGAAGCCTTGCGGCTCAGTGAAGAGCGGACACCTACTGCAACTCGCGACCAAATATTACGACCTGGAAGAGGAACTCGTCCAGGCAATTGCAATCGGTTTTGCACATATTGTTTCGAGCGCGCTATATACATCTCGTTTGGCACAAAACATGACTGGAAGAGACACGAGGATGTATTCCATGAGACCGGGTTTGAATGGCACTGCTGTGCCCCGAGCTGCTCTCGGATTTTGGAATGTGAGCAGTATTTGAAGAGACATTTCAAGGATGATCACCGAGGCCAACCCGTATCTTTTAAGAAGATTAGTTTACCGCCCAAGCGAATTTACGCCTGTGGGTTTGAGAACTGCAGAAAGATTACCCAGAGCTGGACAGCCCGCTGCAACGATGTTCATTCATGCATGCAAGAGGCAGGTGCCGTATGGAGTTACACCCGGAAAATGCTTAATTTGTTAAGATACCCTGAGGTCTGCACCCTTTGGAAAGAGGTTAGATCTCATTGGTGTGAGAAAGTAGGCATTGATGCGTCTCAGCTGCGATGGGATCCGGACACTTCGCATAACCTCAGGATCCAGCTGGAGTGTCTTGACTTTGGAGGTGATTTGCGAGACTTTCTGGAAAGGGTTTTCAAGGCTGGGGTTCCCAAGGGCAATGAGCAGCGCTCAGACCTATTTACCGCCTCTCCCTCGCCCTTGAATGCTCCGTACCCTCCCATGGACACCTTCGGCACTGCTCCCGCTGTATTTGGCCAAGAACTACACTTCGAGCCATTGCTCCCACAATTCTCCGAGAGCCACATCCCTTCCACTGCCGAGGTCCTCTATCCCTCGAGCACATATGCGTCCCATCCACCCCAACACCGAAATAGTGTCGTGATGCTCGACGCTCCTCAAAACCCAAGTGAAAGGCCACAGAACGATCGAAGCCTCGTCCCATCCGATCAAGAAGATATGTTAAGCTGGCAAGAGTTCTTGTATACACATGAATACTGTACCAATACCACACCGCCGCTTTCCGGGCCGCCTACCGAGCCTAGCACTACAAGGCCTTCTCCGAGCCGGACTCTCAGACGAAGGAGCAGGAGTTGGAGTTGGCTTTCGAGTAGGCGAACTCAACAAGTCCATCAACCGATTGTTACCAGTCATCCTGATCTCGCCTTAAACTATCGGCTTCCCACCTCTACACCTAGGAGCTAAGCCTCAAATCTCCAACGCGACTTCTGTGTCTCCATTTCTTACCTCTGTTCCTAGTGTGTTCCATTCTGACTTGACTTGTATTCTGTTCACCCGTGTTTTCCTAGCCTTTCTGCTAGTTTCAGGTTGTCCTTTATTCCTCCTTTTCTTCGTCATTATACCCTTCGAGTCTCTATGATCGAAATCTACCTATATGCTCTTGTAATTCACGGTATTCATTTGGATGGTAATAGAAAGAATGATTAGGAAAAGGAATGGTTACAAATAGGATGGAAGAAATGACAGGGTTTTCATCAACATTGTATTTCTGTCTAAGTTTTCGCATTTTCACTTCAGTCTGGTTCGTCAGTTATTGTCTTGTATAACTTGTAATATACCAACCAAGTCCCTGTTTGAAGTTGCCTGCTCACTTGCACCTACCCGTTTGTAGCGTTGGTCTGTACGGGGGCTTTATCTCATCATTGCGCTTCACCGCCTTATCCCAGCCCCGTCTTTTACCCCGGGCGCGAGGCAGCAGTCATGCCTTGCAAAGTTACTGACTCTATCCTCTCTCTAACAATTCAACCCCAATCGAAGGACGCATAGAACGGATACGCATCGCAAGGAATGGGACATCGCTACCAAGCCGTCTCGCATTTTTAGGTACGATAAAAGGTATCATTCCAAGATTTTCTCTGCTGGCAGTATTTGAAGAATAGAAGGCCAAACACAGTCTAGATCAGTTTTCGTTCAAGTTCTCATACCTCTCTCTGTACCTACAGTACTCCAGCCTCTAACCAATATCTCCTTACAGTGTTTTCTTCCGCTATGAATAGTGTAAACCTAGCACTCTATTTCCTTCTCTTAGCGGGGTTCCCTGTAGGTCCCTCTTTAGGGCTACCTTTTCTCTTCTCTGAAGTTCTACCTCTGCCTGGGGGACCGTCCTTCGCTGGCTCTGTTGTATGGGCGGCTTCTAGAGCAGTCTCCCTTGGTGGTGGTGGAGGCACAAAAGGGTAATATTGCCATTTCCCGCGCAGATCCGGCAAATGCGCGACCGACTTTTCTAAAGTCTTTACGATCTCTGGGAGCGTTATGGCTTTAGGACTCTTCTCGAAAAGGTCATCAGAATGGTCTCTCCAATAGATCTTTCGATTATCACTCAAGTTTTCGAACCCGCCTCCGAATGATTTTTGTAGCGCTCGTCTCATTTCCCACGTGTTGCTTTTGTCTACCTTCTTCAATGGAGAGCCGAGGGGCTGCCAATCGATCCAGACCTTGAGTCTCTCCTCACTGATGCGATCAGACGTAAAGTTGATGGATCTTGCCCTCCAATTAATTTCGGTCTTCGTATAGTGAGCCTGGAGAGTTTCCCTCGCTTCATCGATAGATGGAGGGTGACAATCCCCAGGGAATAGTTTCCGTCTTCTGTCCTTTATTTGGTAGTCTGAGAGTATGAACTCGTTGATTTCCTCGTCCGATAGGTCCTTCCATTTCCCACCATAGCAATGTTGGAATAATGCTCTCAAGGCTGGTGCGTGCAGCTGGGTTTTGTCGCGTGATTTTCTACGAAACAACTCCTTGTTTGCATCGTCCCAAGCCTTGATGGCGTCCTTTGATATTTTAGCGAATCTCGGATATCTCAAGGAGTCGTCTGGTCTCGTTGGTTTATCCTCGCCCGAATCTGTCCCTTCAGAATCATACTTAATATCGCGTATCTCGTCGCTGTCCCCATCAGGATGGTACTGCGTTTTCATCCGGAGAGTCTTTGTACCATGCTTGAGTTTCGCTTTAACGAGGGTCCTCAAGGCATAAACCGCTGCACTACGTGAGAAGTATTCCTTCTTATTCAATGTAGGATGTTGGGTTACCCAATACTCCAGATCTTCATCGCTCAAGCGTCCAAACCCTTTGCCGAAGAGTCTCTGTAGAATTACCTTTTGATCCCATAGGTCTGTTACATCATCAGTCACGTTCTTGCCTAGCGGCTTCTTCGCCAACCAAAGTTCGATAGCGTCGGCGTCAAAATAGGTGAAGTTGATCGTCAAGGACTTGCGGCTAGGACCGGGGGGACCGAGAGGATTGGGGGCACCGGGAGGATCAAGAGGATCGGGGGTATCACGAAGCTTGCCCCACCGTATAAATTTATCTAAAGTCGTACCTGATTTCACCAGACCAGAATCCAGCACGTTCTGGAATATGCTTTGCATGTCTGCCTCATTCGATGCCTTTTTAAGCACGTCCCAACAGTCTATCGCAGTACCGTGCATTCCCGCACAGATAATGCTGTCTTCATTGCCCAGGATTCTATTCACTTTCTCTCGCAGCGAGGGCGGTAAGATGCGCTTAAGCTCTGGAGAAAGCCGTAAGGGATCTTCGAACCCGCTGTTCATCTCTACTTGGTATTCCCTTATTAAATCTTGAATTTCCTCTCTGGTGTTCTTTGATGCGAAGCAAAGTTGCCTCTTATGTTTCGGTAGCTCTTGCTTTGAAAAGGCGGCTAGAAGGTCTTCCATATACTCTGGATTTTGATACAGATACTTTAGAAAGGCATACATATACGGTCCACAAGCGCTCGAGCTCTCACCCGGGGTCCTATTGTCGCGGCCTTGGTGCGGAACGTATTTCAAGGTACTTGTAGCGAATCCACTTCTCCGAAACGTGCTTAGGGGTTCCAGGAATCTGTCGATGCCGCAAAGGACCTTTCCAGCAGCCTCACCAGCATTATACATGCGATCAATAGTGTCGGTTTTTTCTTTGAGTCGTACATGACCGTCGATAAATCGCGCTTTCTCTTCTTGCTTGTCGACGATAAGGAGGCCCCAGTGAGCGCCTTGGCCGGGTGCGCGGGAGGAATACTTTTTCTTTTCGGACGGCTTTTGGCTGGTGGCTGGTGGCTTGTCCTTGCCTCTCTTAGACTTTCCCTTCTGCTCGGCTTCCTCCTCAGCTTCCTCCTC